GCCGGGGGCCGGGCGCTGCCCGCGGGCGGTACGGCTGCGGCCGGGGCTCGGCGAGATCCGCTCCCGCGCAGCTCGGAGCCGACGGGAGGGCGGGCGGCGGCCGGCCGAGCGCGGCGGGCATCGAGCTCCAGAGCGGGGCGGTGGCACCGGGGGAACGGGAGGCACCGGGCTGCGGAGCGAGGAGGGGCGTCCCGGCGGGGGCTGCGGGGGGAACTCCTCCTCCCGAAGTTGCCCGCTGCCCGCTCCGCGTCCGTTCTAGAAGTTGCTGCGCCCCGAGCGAGGCCGTCCGTCGCGTCGCTCCTTCCGCGGGCGACTGCCGCAGAAAAGCAGTCCGAAGCGCCGCCGGGGTCGGCCCCCTCCACAGGGTTAAGGCCGCGGGAGGACTCGAGGGCCCCAGGGCGCTGCTGCGAAATTCCCCAAGTGCGGGATCGCGCAGCAGGGATCGCCCGCTTCAGGTCGTGATCGACTCCCAGCGCTGATTCAGGGCCGCGCGCTGCCCCGAGCTGAGCCCCGGCCGCGGCTCCTTCCCTGCGGGCAGCGGCAGAGCACGGCCTGACCGCCGCCGTCTGCCAGCCAGAGACACCCTCAGCTTTGGCTGTCGGACCGGCAGCGGTGTGCAAGGAATTGCTGGAAAGCACAATAATTTATAATCAACGTTCCTCCTATTGATTTTATCTCTGAATAGATACTGTTAGATAATGAATAGCAAACAGGACGCTGAGTGTAATTCTGCTGTGCTCAGATCAAGGAAGGCTCCCGCTGACTTTCCCAAGGCTGGGATTTCACCTCTAGTTTCTATTCCTGGCGCCGTCACTGCCTGTGTGACCTTCTCAAGCTCCCATCTTCCCTTTGCCATGCATTCCTTACATTTAAAGACGTACTTGCTTCATGACACTGCTGCAAAGTTCAATGCGCTCAAACTCTTTGCGGTCGTAAAGAGGAATGGAATGAATTTCTGATATGTATCAGTGTTTGTTCCTGAGTCTGTTTTCATGTGATGGTGAGGGGAACCACGGCTGGAGGAATTATCGACCTGTTCCTGCAAACCTTGTTTATGCCCTCTTACTCCTGAGGTAACTGGCCAAGTGATGATGTGAATAGGGGCTGGGTCTTGATATGACAGTTTTTGTGCTGGGATGTGCAGACATGCAGTACGTACACATCAGCCTTTGAAATGCACCATCAGGAACCAAGGCTGTTTCCTTAGGTCAAAGTTCTGGGATCCCAGTTAACAGACTTCTGTACTGTTTTGCCTTGGAAGCAAATCTGCAGACCTGTAACTAAACTAAAGTTACTGCAGGAAGTTGCTCCAGTCCTTCTCTTTTGCAAGTTCATGTGAGCCAGAGTGCAAGAGCAATTCAGAAACCTCCCGTAACTCACCGGGTGCTTAAGTCATTTTTAATGCTAAATGTCAGATCCCAAATGCCTTGCAGAAGGCTCTCTGTGTCTCCAAGGAGGAGACTGGGAGTCCTATGCTCAAAGCTTTGCGGGGCAGCAGGGGCCGCTCGTTCCTGGAAGCCGGTCTGCGATGGAATGAAGTCCTTGGGATGTCCGGTGATGCTAACGTGCAGCACATCTCGCATGGCACCCAGCACCCTGAGGTGCTGCAAAACCCAGGAGCGCCCGGCTGAGGAGGGCCCTTTGTGCATCCAGGTGCTGTCTGAAAAGCACCGCCAGCCCTAACCCCATGGGGCTGTGTTAGGGCAGATAGGCACAACCTGTGCTGCTGAGAACTGCCCTCCCAGCGCAGCCTTCTTCTATGCAGATCAGGTGGCAAATTGTTTTTGGTGCAGTCCCAGGCACGAGTGGAGCTGACGCCTGCAGCAGAACAGCAATGCAGACAGAGCTGCAGGGAGGGGACAGCTTGGGCTGCAGGTGCCCCCTCTGGGAGGGGCACAAGCCACCCTCAGTGGACTGCTGCCTCCTTCCTGGCCCTCTGTGCACATGTGCAGCTACAAGCAACAAGGGCATAGAGCATCCTTCAAACCAAAGGGGAGTATCGCTTACCCTTGGCTTTTATGCCGCATGACATCACCTCCCGAAGCTGCAGGCTCTCACTTGTCTCCCCAGGGCCACGCAGTACATGGTTCTGTGCAGTCTTCCACCACCACTCGTGGTGCCAACTCAGAGTCTGGAAAGGCAAAGTCACAGCCACAGTGGTGAGGGAAGGGCGGTAGCAGGACCACTTCCAGCCTCTCTGCTGCTCGGTGCAGACTGGTGCCATCCGCCAGGGCAGCAGCACTCACATGCCCTGACTCCTGCCCTGCTCCAGCATGCGGGGGCCGCTCTGCAGCACCTGCTGGGGGCTGTGAAGCCGTCAACACAGGAGCGTGGGCAGTGCTGGCTAGAAGGTGCGATGGCTCCACGAGGTGCCATTAAGTCAGCAGCACATCATCTTCATTAGCTCCCAAGTGATTTTGCTGTATGCAGTGACCAAAGGAAGTGCTTCAAACTGAATGCTCAAAACGCCATTGCAATCTTCGCTCAACTTCAAAAGCAATGAAGGGAAAATAATGGTTGCTGAGAATTGGGTTTGGAAATTCTTTAGGGTAATGTGTGCAGATAACTCCAGCAAGGCAATAGCTCATTTGTTCCCTCCTGATAACATTAGAAATGCTCAAACAGCTTCCAGATGCTGTTGAGACTCCATGACGTCGTTAACAGTGACTGGCTCTCACATCATTACCTGTCACAGAGGTGTCGAGGCTTCCATGTGCACGTGCCCCACTGCGGCCCCACAGCTCCTCTCAGCCATCAGAAGAGCAGCACGCATGCTGCCAGGAGAGCCCTGCCCAAGGCTCTGTGGGTGCAAAAATCAGCCTCACGGAATGAGGGGCTTGGGACCCACAGAGACAAACCACAGTTTGGTTTTTGTTTGGGTTTTTATGTTTGTTTGTTCGGTTTTGTTTTTAAACACACAGGTCAACTACACAGATCTTTTGTCTTCCAAACCAGTCAAAGCAGACCTTAACTCCCAAAAACTTTTTTTTTTTTTAATCAACTTATTACTTAACTATTGATTTTAAGGAGAAAAAAATCATTGCTATGAAAAGGATAATTCTCCACTTAAAGGAGGAGAGGGAAAGTTCAGTGGCAGAACTCCAGCCATTTCTACCGAGAACAGCTCGAGCAGATAGAACAAAGCCCTTGAAAATAGCAGCGCGTGTCCTCCGGGGCTCTGCCCAACCTACTTTCTAACCACCCGGAGATGAGGTCCCACCACTTCCACAAAGGAGCTGCTCCAAAGCCGAGCCTGGCCCTCCCGCAGCCCCTCCCCACCCTCAGGGCTGGGGGAGGACGTGCTGCTGCCACGAGGTGTGCTCCTGGGCTGCGGGCAACGGGGAACTCCTGCATCGCCCCGGCTGGCTCCGGACGCCTTGCCCATGCCCCATCCGCCCCCCGGCTGGGGGCTTTGCTGCAGCACCGCAGCAGCAGGTGGAGCAGCAGCACCTGAGCGGAAAGCCCAGCCAGGCTGCGAGCTGCGCCGGCCCGTGCCTGCAGGACGCACAGCACCCCCACGGGCAGAGCCTCCCCCGCCGTGCAGCACCCCGGGAGCACAGTGTATGGGGGCTGGAAGGAGGGGGCTAAAAATTCTCCCTGTCTGTCACAGTGGCTGTAGCTGTGCAGGATGTGCCAGCAGAGCACCTGAATCCATTGCAGGACGGGTCCTGCAGTGGCCCAGAGCTGGGGCTGCAGTGGGGCAATGGCCACAGCAGGAATGAGCCCCAAGTGCACGGGCACTGGGGCCTGAATGCATCCCCTCCTCCTTGTGCAAGGCAGAGTATGTGGAGCCCTGATTTCAAGGTTTTCACATATGTGTAGATGCCTTAGCAAGAATAAAGCTTTGAGCCAGAGCTGCTGCCAAAATTGCTTACTTTGGAGTCAAGCTTAAATGGAGTTTGATTTGATATAGGGTGTAGGAATTAGCTTAAAATGTCTTGCATTAGAGGGCTGGGCATGCTGTAAACACAAGCTGAACATTTGCTTACTTCTGAAGTTTCTGTGGAAAGGAATGGAAAATCAGAAGCAAACGAATGTGGATTGGCTTCCCAGCAGCAGGACGGCGCTTGCTGTGCTGTGGCTTTGCTGGCAAAACTCATACTGACCTCTGCAGTGGGTTGCTGTAGGTTCCTTCCTGAGCTTGGTGCATGGCACAGGGATATTTCCAAGATCTAAGGGTCCTTCAGAGGTTCATTTTTCCCTCCCCATGCGGGTAGGCAGCGCACAGCACTGCATGCTGCTGAACTCCATGCCCTGGCGCTGACCCTCCCAGCGTAAGGCAGCGCTGAGCTCCTGCCATGTAATGCTGATTGGGTTGGACAGACCATACTGTATTTTTCATGCACTGGATCTTGTTCTGCAGTCGCTGCTTTGCAATGTGGGGCTCACTGAGTAACTGAAATCACCGCTGTGTGGTTCCTAGGGGTGATCCTGCCCCAGGTGTATCTCTGCTCAGTGATGAGGCAGATTTCCTAAGGCCAAACTTAAAACAGAAATGAGCCCATTCAATAGAAGGGTTTGTATGGTGCATTTTCTGTTTTCACAGTGCTGGGGCTCTCAGCCCAAGCCTGCAACAAGAGGCAGTGAGACCAAACAGAAACGTGGGTGCTGTCCTGCGGGGCTGCGTGTGCAAAGCTGCTGCCCTGCAGCCACGTCCGTGTGGAGCACAGGTTGCAGAGCCCAGGGCTCTGTGTCCCACAGGACATGGGGCTCGTGCTGCTGGGGTGACCCACCAAGCTGTGCTCTGACTGTGGGCCCTCTCTTCTCCCTTAGGCGTGGGCTGCAGATTCGGTTGCGATGGAGACCGTGTCCCTGGAGCACCAGATCCAGAGTGTGCAGAGGCACATCGCCTTCCTGAAGAAGGAGCAGATGGAGCTGCTCCACGGCCTGCACCTGGAGATCCTCCGCCTGCAGAAGCACTGCTCAGGTGAGCACTGGGCACTGTGGCACAGGGAGCCCAGCACAGCCCACCTGCCCTCAAAGACAGTCCTATTATTAAAACACAGAACTGGTTCCCCCTTTCTCCCAGATGCCATTTGCCCAAGGGAAGGAAAATGGCTGAACTCCACCAACGATGGGGTGAGCGGGCATGGGACTGTGCTGTGGGTCCCTCTCAGAACTGGAGGAACGTGGGTTCCTGGGCTGGGGCAGTTCCCCTCCATCCTCCTGCCAGCCCCAGGAATCCACCCCAGTGGCTCTCGTCAGTAATTCAGCCTGGCCAATTACTCATTGTCTTCCAGCTCCTAATCACTGATTCCTGGGAAACAGAGACATGAGGGCATTTCTAAAATTGTCTATTCCCACCCATCCTTTCTGAGCTTTTGCTGTTCCATTTCATTGTTTTAATAGCTCCATCAGTGCCTCTCCACATACGTGAGGCCAGAGGACCCTCAGACATAAATCATGCAGGGAGGTTCTGAGCTGCCCTGGCAGCAATGGCTCTGTCCTGTTTGCTGCTTGCAACAGACACTATGCCCCATCCCTGAGGCACATGGCTCTGCATCTGCAGGGCATGATGGGTCCAAGCTCTTATGTAGCTCCGAGGTGACTTTGGATGTATTTGCAGTGCCACTGCCTGCTATTCATTTGCACGAGGGAGGTAGATGGGTCAGTCAGCACTTTCCTGCCCAGTCCAGGCATGTAGCTCACTGCTACACCTGGATGTGCTGCTGTGACCTTGGGTTTTTGCATCATGACCTTGGTGTCTCAGTGGCCTCACCGCCAGCAGTACCTGTCCTCCTGCAGCTCTGCTTCACAGCTGTGCACCAAAGGAGAGCCGATAGCTGGGGAGGGACTGCAGCACCCGCTGAGCCCTCTGCTGCACTGCCAGCACAGGACAGTGGGATAGCAATCCCACAGCTGCACCATGGGGTCAGGGGAAGCCAAACCCAGTAAAGCCCCACAGTGCAACATCCTCGGTTGGAGGCTTTGCAGGAAGATAAACGCAGCAAAGTGCAGCGTAGAGTGATTCATCTGCTGGAAGGACCCTTGCGTTACAGCAGTGCTGGCTCCCCTCCCACTCCCATTTTATTTGCAAAGTATAAACACAGCAGAAATAGCAATAGATCCTTTCAGACTCCTCTGTTTCTCCTTTTACTGGAAAATGAGCTCAGCTGCTGTGGCAATAATTAGCACATTCCCAGCGTTAGCAGAGCAGCAGGAGGAGAGCTGCGCTGCCCAGAGGGGCCGTGGTGGCAATGAGGGCTCCACGTGGTGCTGGGCTTTGGGGTTCTGCGCTGCGGGGCCCAGCAATGGCCTCTGCTGGAACCACATGGTGCAGAGAGGGCATCACAGCAAATGCTGCATGTGGCTGCAGCACCAGTGGGGACACAGGAGCCTGACCCACCCATAGGAAGGGGAGCACATGTGGGGCCAGCCGTGAGAACGACACAGGGAGGGATTCCAAGGCACTGGGACCCCAGCACACAAGTGGAGACCCTGTCCTGAGCATCACTGTGCAGGCAGCAACATCTTTTCCAGCAGGAGACGACTTTAGGTTTCATTTGGAATCTCTCTGAGACCCCAAACCCATTATTTTAACTTCAGTAAAATAACACAGCTGCCATTGATTTTCCGTGGGGCAGGCAGGAGTGCTGAAAGCTTTCCAAAAATTGCATTACATTCTCCGTTACTCTGCATTCTCACCACAGATTTGTTTTCCAAGAGAGACAGCAGAGCAGCCTCAGCCAAGAGCTCCGTTTCAGGGCGGCGGTGATGGAGATTAGAGTCAACACGAAGGCAGATTAAAAGAAAAATGTAGGGCAGAGACTAACCGTTTAAATTCATACTCAGAAGACAAAAAGCTCCTGTGTGACTGAATGCTGCTGTCCCTCCGCTCCTCCAGTTTGCTGGTGGTTTGGTGGTCTGTGATATTCGCTGAGAAATTATGTGGGGTCCGTGGGGCTGTGGTTGCTGTGGGTCTGCTTGCACCACGCACAGAGGCAGAGATCACTCTGCGGACAGTAAATGATGAAACACTTCAGGCGGCAGTTTAGCTTTGGTCTGTTTTCAGTCCATTGCTCCGTTCACGTCCTGGTTTAAAGCGCCGAAAATGGTTCAGCAGGTAAGAGCTGCAGGGCAGTCCCAGCACGGAGCGCCGCCCGGCGCTGCTGCCCGCATTGCCGCTACGCGGCCGCTCGCGGGGGCAGAGGAGCAGCGCTGCGCCGCGTCTCACCGCCGTCTGGTTTCTCTTCCAGAGCTGACCCACGACCTGGAGATGAAGGAGCTGGAGGCCCGCCAGCAAGGTGAGAGCAGTAAGTGTGCGCGGGGCCGCCGCAGTGCTCCGAGGGGTGGGGGGGCCCAGCGGGCGGACGCGGACTCTGGTCTGAAGGATCGCTGGGGTTCTGTGCTCGGATAGGACGCCCTGAGTGCCGATGCCCCAGTGAGGGTTTGCATATGAAAGCAAGCATTCCTCGGGTTTGCTTTGCTAATCCGTTTACACAGAGCCCGCAGGGGCATTGCAGATCCCCGGGGAGCGACTCAAAGCTTGCAGACCCCTGAGCCCCGGGAGAAGGCAAACACAGACAGTCAGTGAGCCCCCAACCCCTGTGCGCTGTCCTGGGCATTCGGAGGTCAATTCGGAATCTCTTCCAGTGACGTTATATAACACTACATCCCATGAAAAAAACTCCTTGCGATCCAAAAAAAGGGGCAGAAGAGTCCTGGCGCACTCAGCACGGCTGCAGGCTGCAGACGGGAGGACGGCGAGCTGCGTGGCACCGAGCCCTCATCCCGTCCCTTCCCCGTGTCCGGGCGCAGCATTGCCCAGCTGCCGTGCCCAGCAGAGGATGCTGTGGGAGCAGCTGCGCCTCCTCTCTGGCCTGAAGCCAGACCCCATCCCTTGGCTGTCCCAGCGCGATGCCATGGCTGCGTGCCGGGGGCTCGGCTTCTCTCCCTGCCTCCCCGGTGTTGGCAGTGACCAACGCCTGCAGAGCACCACCCGCAGGGCGCTGCCATCAAGCTGCCTTAACAGCTCCAAAAGAGTACAATCCCATTTGCTACATTTATGGGGCAACAGCCTAAATTAAGATGCCGCCAAACGATCACTCTTCAAATACCACTCATGTAATAATTACTGCGTGCAGCTTCCTCCCTGAAGATCTCATTATAAAACATTTCGCCTCGCAGAAAGCACTTAAGAGCCGAAGCTGTAAAGCGGTTGCAATGTGTATCACAACAGGCAGAGCTTTCTGCAAGCTGCGGGATCACGCCTGGGCATGCTGTGTGCTGTGCAGGGCTGTGCATCCACCCCTCCGGCTGTGCTTGAGCGGCCACCTTCCACCACATCCCCCTGCCCCACATTGCTCACATCTTCACAGCACCTCTGATGGTGGAGTGCAGGGAATGCCGCGTGGTGCCACATCCCTGGAGTCCCCACACCAACAGCGTGTCTTTCCTCGTAGAGCTGAGAACGCTCTTCATTGAAAGGCGGCAGCCTGAAGCCACAACTCCCTGTGCCCGGCCCTCAGGGGGTTGGCAGGGGCTCAGGCCAATGTGGGCACCTGGCCTGGTGCTGAGCTCGTGCTCATGTTCCACAGAGGACACTGGCATGTACAGGATGGTAGGATAGGTGGGTGGGAGCCAGTGCCATCCTCCTGCGGGCAGCAGGAGCCGCAGTGGAGCAGCCCACACGGCCCAGGCAGGGCGCTGCAGAGTGTGCAGGAGTGACAGGCAGGGCTTGTGTGAAATCACCGATCTCCAGGTGTTGCTGGGTGACTCGGAAAGGCTGGGGCAGGGAGGGCACAGTCCCCAGTCCTGGCTGGGAGCTGTGGGGAAGTGCTGTTCGCTGCGGCACCACTGCTCAAACATGTCCTGCCAGGGCCTGTGCCTGGCAGTGACTGCTGCAGTGCAGAAAGAAGCCGAACAGGTCGGGTGTTCGGAGCAGGGAGGCAGCATGGGGAGCGCATCGCAGCTGGCAGCGCCTGTGCAGAAGAACTCAGATTCCTCCTGCACGCTCTGCAAGGACAGCAGCAGGGAAAATAGCTTCAGGTATATGGGCTCCTGTGTGCCCATACATATATGTGTGTGTATGCACCCCCAGAAAAACAGCCACACACGTGCACACATTTATGCTGAGGTGCTCAGCTGAGCCTGGCCCAACTGCCCGGTAATCCCAGATCAGCATTCTCTGTCCTCTAATCTGGCTTTTCAGTCTCTTGGCACAAGGGCAGCAACACCCTACACGCTGGCCTGATGGCAGTACTGCCGGGATTTACTTTTCTCTCTCAGCCTGAAACTGTCCCCATGCAGAGGGGGACAGGAAGGGGCCGCGTACACTGGGAGGGAGCCTCTGCTTGGGCAGCCCATGGGCGGTTTTGGAACCACGACTCCCAGAAGCACGCCGCCCCCCACGGCGCGGCTGGGACACGCCGGCACCCCACTCGGCCACTCCGTGCCGGGAGCCGCGCCGCTCACGGAGCAAAGATCCCCTAACCGCTGCCTCCCCGCAGACGCGCTGGACCGGGAGCTGGAGGAGAAGTGCCGAGCGATGGAGGCTCAGCTGCAGGAGAAGGAGAAGGACAACCTGGAGCTGCGCAAGGAGCTGCGACACAAGGAGACTCTGGTGGCCGCGCTGCGCTCCAGCCTCCGCAGCAAGGAGCGGCGCTTCCTGGAGGAGCTGAAGCGGCGCAGCCACCGAGTCACCATCCTCGACACGGAGCTGCAGAAGCAGACGGAAGCGGCCGCCTACCTCTCCCTGCAGCTGCACGCCACCTGCCAGCGCCTGCCGGGCCCCCGCAGCGGCGGGCGGCCGGCCCCCGTGCAGCCCCCGGCCGAGGGCGGGCCGCCGCGCCGCGGCCACAGGGTACATCCACGGCGCCCGGCCGGGGTCGGCGCCCGGCCCGGGGACCCCGCGCGCGAGGAGCACGACGCCATGCCCGACCCGGCCCTCTTCCTCTACGCGGCGCGGCCGCCCGCCCCGCAGCGCCAGTCACCGCTGGATCCCCCCGCCGAGCCCCGGGGCGCTGCCGCGGCCCCCCGGGCGCAACGGCTGCCCCAGCCGCCGCCGCAGGAGCCCGTAGCCGGGGCTCGACCAGCCAAGGGCGAGGCCGGCAAGCGGCCGGGGCCCGGGCCACGCGGTGCCCGCGCCCGGGAGTAAGCATGGAGGCGGGCGCGGCCCGAGCGGCTGGGAAGGCGCTGACCCTGGAGCACCGTGCCGAGCGGCAGCCGACGTCGCCGTCCCCCGGGAAGGGGGGGGGAAAGCGGCGCTCTGCTCTCAGCCCGCGCTGCGCCCGCAGGGCTGGACCGTGCAGAGCGTGCTGGGGCAGCGCTGTGCGAGGCGTGCCGAGGGGCAACGAGGGAACGAGGCTGGGACGAGGCTGCCGCAGGGCTCCCCCAGCTTGAAAGGTGCCCGTCTGCGGCACCCGGCGCCGCTCCCCGCCGGAGCGCGGCTGCGACCCGCATCGCCCGCACGGGGTGTCCGCGCGCCGGCGCCGTATTCCTCACTGGCACCGACAGCCGGCTGCTGTTTTCTCACCACAGACTAAAATCATGTCAGCGAGCCACTGGCAAAGCGGGATCTGGTGCACTGCCACCCACAGGGCAGAGCTGGCCACAGCGCAGCCCCATCAGGGGCAAAGGCTGCAGATGACGCTTTGCCTGCAGTGTCCGAACTATTGGAGCCCACCTCCCTCGCGCGCAGTTCAAACCCCTGGAAAAGCATCGCCCTTCCTCTGAACCATCACTTGCCTCCAGCCCGCAAAGTGCCCACGCAGCCAGAGGTCTCTATTTTTGTAGCTCGGTGTTTATACCTTACAACGCTTTTAGGAGACTCTCAGTCACAGTCCCAAGCCAGCTCTCCAGACGGTGAAATCAAACCCCAGAGTGTGATCAGCTCTGCAGGAGGCGAGCAGCTTTCATGCTGCCCTTTGGCTGTGATGGGCACTCAATGGGAGAAGTGTCCAACTCAGGTGGCAGGGCCCCCCGCGCCGCCAGTGCTGCCCCAGTGGCGTCTGGCTGTGCTCCCAGAAGGACACTGCATGGCGGCAGGTGAGGCACAACCTGGCATCTCATGGGTGAAGCCCCTCCCGGCCTTGGGACAGGGCTGCTCTTCCCGGGCTCTGAGTGCTTTTGCTGAGAGCACGTCCCGATGTTCTTTTAATGTGAGAGAGGGTAAAACATCTCTGTGCGTCCCTGTGCTGTGATTTGCACAGCTCGCTCCCCCTCGTTCCTAGACAATCCTGATACACAGAGCGTGTCGCATTTTTATTATAAAGCTACTGATAAAATCATATTGTTCATGACCAACCTGAGCATTAAAAAGGGGAGGGCGTGTAGGTACCCCCCTGTTCTCTGTAAATATCTTCCTAACAATCAGCATTTTTAGTGCCTAGTATGTAAATGAAGCAACCCTGTGGGAGCTGCAGGACCCTTCCCCCTTCTCAGCCATCAGCTATGAGCTCGAGGGGCACATCCCATCTCAGTGCCTCGTGGCTTCTGCCCACCCCATGGCAGCCTGAATGGGCAGGGAGGCAGCAGAGCCATGAGAGTCTGGAGCCCTGAGCTGGGTAGGGCCGGTTTCATGCACTGCACTGCGGTCACTGCTGCTCCTGAAGGGGGGAAGCTCTAGAGTACAATATATATGCACTTATATATATGTATACACATAACGCACTTGCTTTGAAGGGAAAACACTGTATGATTGTAATAGAAATGATGTTGAAATAAATTATTTTAATCTTTGTATTTATATAAAATGCTCAACGAGGTCTAAATGATCCCAAAACCCAGAAAGGCAGTGCTCCTGTGTTTGACCTGTGGGATGCTGCTGGGTGCGCTGAGCTCACGGAGCAGCAGGTAGCCCCGGGCAGTGCCTGCCCTGCCCATGTGCGCAGGGGGCCCAGCTGCCCCCAGCCCTGGCTGCAGCGCAGGGCAGTGTGCCATCACTGCATTTGCTCAGCGCTGCTCAGCTCCCTGTGAGTTGGAGCGGTTAGCTGTACATTGTGCTGCAGAGCTCTGTACGTGGACACATATAGACTAGGAATGTAACTGCTGACACCTACATGCTCTGTATGGAACAAGCAATGTGTAACGTTGATGCATAAAAGCTTAATAATTAGACTGGAAATGGATGCATAGCAATAACACTACATTGTTAAACATTACCTGATATATATAAAACAGCGTGTTGGCAACTCCTGCATGCAGACCAACAGCCAGGCAATGCTCTTGCACCCACTGCTGCTATTCTGCACTGCTTGCAGTCCAGTGGGCCCAGAGCACTGGTGCAGTGATCATCCCCCCGTGCTGCAGCTCTGCAGGTGCTCTCCAAGGAGGGTACTCACTGTGTTGCACAACCTCGCAGCAGAGGCAGAGGAGCTGTGCACTTGGCAGAGGCAGCCCCACGGTTTACACAGTGCCCCAGGCAGGCTGCTTGGGGAGCTCTTCTTGACCCCATTAATTAAAAAGCCTTATTTTCTGAATGTGCTTGCTGGGGCTACCTAAGCATCCCTGGCTATATCCTTCCTGCTTTGGTGTTGTGGTTGTTGAGGCACTCAGCAGCTCCCTGGCTTCATACCACCCACCAGAAGTATCAGTGCTGTCCTGCACAGCACAGCCCGGCAGAGCCCAGCCCGCATGTCCCGCCCGTCCAGCGCTCCGGCGGCACCGCGGCCCCTGGGTCCCGCGCGCGACCTCGCAGGCGTCGGGAAGGTCGCCAGCGGCCCGCAGCGCGGTCCCAGCCCGCCCGGCCCGCGGCGAGGCCCGCTTCGTGCCCGCGCGCTGGGCCTGGGCCTGGGCCTGGGTCCGGGCCGCGGCAGCGCAGGGCAGCGCAGGGCAGCGCAGGGCAGCGCAGGGCAGCGCAGGGCAGCGCGGAGCCGCAAACCCCCTCGCGGCCCCTCCGACCCGTCCGGCCCCACCGCCCCGCCGCGGCCTATCCCGTCCCCGGCCCCGCGCGCGCGGCCCCTTTAAGGCGTTGCGGGCGGCGCGGAGGTTGGTCCCGGGCCGCGTGCCGTAGCGGGGTCGCCGCACCACGTGGGCCGGAGCGGCGCTGTCCTTCGCGGCGCGGCGGGACGGGACGCGGCGGGCACGGCGCGGGGCGCCCATGGTCAGCAAAGCGGACGAGATGCCGCCGGCCGCGGTGCCGGCCTCCGCGCAGGGCGGAGAGCAGCAGGAGCCGGGGCCGCGCGGCAGGAGAGCGGCGGAGGCCGAGCGGCGGCCCGGTAAGGGTAAGGGAGGGGGGGCCGCGGCGGGGCGGCGGGGGGTGACCGAGACGGGGCCCGCGCCTTGGGCCGGATCGCCGCGGGGTGCCGTCGCTTCGAGGCGCGGGGCTGGCGGAGAAGGGGCCGCGGCCCGGCCGGCGTCGGCGCGGACGCGAAGGCCCCGGGGTCGTCGCGCGATGTCCGCCCCCGCCGCTGCGCTCCCGCCGTTCCGTCCCGGCGGTGACGGCGCGCCACGGGCGGTCCGGGAGGATTCCGCGACGGCGGCCCGGGGCGGTGAGGCCTCCTCACACCGCGCGGCGGGGGCTGCGCTCGTGGCCGGAGGGAACCGCGGAGTCGGGGGGGGTTCGGTCGGGCCCCGCGCTGGGTGGGGGACGGAGCCCGGGAGTGGTGGGGGCGGCCGGGCGCGTTCCGTCCCGGCGCGGCGGCACGGGGAGCCCCGGCCCCGTGAAGGTCACCTTCAGCGGACGCGGCGCGGCGCGCCCGGGGGGGTGGGGGGCGGCCGGGAGGGGCCCGCGTTCCCCGGACTCCGGCAGCGGCGCGGGGCTCCGGGCGCCGTCCAGGCCAGGCGGGGGGCGTCGGGGCCTTCCCGGCTCTCCCCTGGCAGGGAATCTCGGTGTGGCCTGGGCGGAGTGCTGGGGAGGCCGCTCTGTGCCGCGCTGGGAGCCGTGGAGCCGTGCGCTCCGGATCGGCCCCGCTCGGCACCGGCCGTGTCCGAGGTCGGCTGAGGGCCGGGACCCTGCGCACGAAGCCTGGTGCCGAACCCCGTCCCGTAGTGCCGGAGCCACGCGTTGTGTGGGGTCTCGCGTGGCCGTGGCACGGTCTGTATCCCTTACAGCTCAGGTCTCTGCGGGCTGCTGTGAGGTCAGTGGGTGGTGGTGTCCGCAGGGTGACTGCAGAGGGATGTGTATGTGTCTGTAAGAGATAATCTCATAAGGGAGTTATCTTGGGGCCACAAAGATGCAGCTCTCCTCATGTGCTCTTCTAAACTGAGTTCTGCTGGGGCCGCTGTCACAGTATGGTGGTGTCTTTGTAATAGGTGAGAGACAATTGGACCGCCCAGAAATTGTGAACTGCAAGAATCTGTCATTTCAGAGAATGCTCAAAAGCAGATATGTGGGATTTCCTGGGAAGAGCAGATAGCTCATGAGAGATCTTGGCTGAATGCTGTGTGCTTTGACTCATTGAAGCCCCAACAGCAAATAAATGAGGGGGGCAGCAACATGGGCAGCCCTGTGCCCTGACCTGGGCACTTTGCATCTGCTTCGGGGTGTGGGCACCGGCCCTGCCCGGCATTCTGGGTCATCCTGGGCTCAGAGTGCCGTACCTCCAACAGGTGAGCGTCCCAAGCGCTGCTCTGCAGCTCGGCCTGCTGCTGTGCTCTGTAACCTGCAAAAAGAAAGGTAAAAGCATGGCACTGCGTGGCTGCTCCTCATAGGTCACACTGGCTGAGCAAGGGACTGCTGCTGCCTCCCTTCCCCCGTTTGTATGGTGATGAGGTGACTTTTTGAAGTTTGTCACTCAAAGCAAAGTTCACTGGTGTTAAGGCTGGCAGGAATTCAAGTGTGTGGGGGAGAGTCTCCCCCGCCCCCCATGCTCCACTTATTCACATGGATGCCAAGCACAGCTCAGGTTGAAAAGTTACACCGTGTGATCCCTGCTCAGCATGAGCTGGGTCCTGGGGGAGGGAGGTAAAGCACTCCCCTGTGTCAGCCAGAGGGCTCTGGGCAGCGCAGAGCTGGCTGAGGGCCCACAAAGCCATGCTCCATCCCCATGTGCCCAGCACTGCCTGTCAGGGTCCTGGCAGCTGCGCCACACAGAGGGGTGGCCACTGGGGATGGGCTCCTGGCTAACAGGATATGCTCTTCTGTTGTGTTGGTCATTGAGACCAGGGGGTCTGCTCTCTTTGGCCTCTAAAGTGGCAAAAGAGTTGTGACTTCCCCTCTCCGCCTTCAAACAGACAAATGTGCTGGGCTGCTTCATCCTTCTGGTACAGAAATACACAAATGCTTTGGGTACCTGCATTGTTTGGGTCCCTGCATTGATTTCCAGCAAGACCAGTTATGGGTTAAGTTACCTCTCTTGTTAACTAGCACAAGATCAAAAGACAGCAATTGTGTGCAGCACTTTTGGACTTTTTTTGTTGCTGCAGTTGTCAGTGCTTCAGAACAAGCTTGTCTTACGTGCAGGTTAGCAGTGTGTCTACCTGGCATAGAGTCCTTCTTGTCAGTGCCTTGCCTGGAGGTTGTTTTTTTTTCTAAGAAAAAAAATCCCTGTCCCTTTTCCAGTCCACTTATGTGTTCATTTACCTTCGCTGTTGAAAGAGCAGAGAATGAAGGTACTAACGGAGAACTGCTCTGGAGGCAGTGCTGCTGTGCATTAGCAACAAAGTCAGAACTCAGATTCCTAATCAGGGGATCTGCCGGCCCTGTCTGTTGCCTGACCTTGGAGGTTTGCTTATGGTTTGGAAGGGGTTGAATTGCTGACAGCTGGGTTTTCTAATAGGCGGTTGTAACACTTCAGGGGGAGAACTGGACCATCATGCAGGAGGGAGAGGATTGTTGCTATGAAGGAGAGGACTGTGATAACAGCAGCACATGTGTGATGGGAATGGGACCTGAGCAAGGGGTGGTGTTTGGTGCAGCTTTGCTGGGGGGTGGCCCTGAGCTCATGCTGAGAGCTGGAAGCTCTCAGCTATCCCCGAGCAGCATTGCTCTTGGGTTTCCCGGTTAGAAAGTGGAAGTAGGTCAGGAATATGCACACAGAGAGGTGCAGGCACATGGCTGCCTTCTGCACAATAAAAGCAACTTTGTGTTGCAGAGAACTGTTTGACTTAGCAGTCTGTAAATAACTGAACTTGGCAGTGTCCTGCTTGCTTTTCTGCATCATGCTGCATTAGTTGTACTAGAAAGCTGTTATTTCTAAAAGTTTTAAAGGTCTGAAGTTCATGTGTTTCTTTATTTGCATTTGAGGAGTAAAACCGGTCCGTGGGGCAGTTTGCACACAGTGCTGATGCTGCATGGCTGTTGGGTGGCGGTGATGCTCTGGAGGTGCATCTGCTGTGGTGTGGGGCTGGGCAGGGCTGGGTCTCCTTAGGCAGTTGAGTTTTCTTCTGTAGTTTGCTTTTTTTTTTTTTTTTTTTTTTTTTTTAACTGACTCCAAGACAAGAGGTTATCTGGTGTTTTTGTGACAAATCAGCTTAAATGCACTTCTAGAGGTGATGAACCTTCATCTTTGGATGGGAAAATGGACCCACACAGCAGAAATGAGCACCAGAGCAGTCTGAGGGAAAAGGCCAGCTGAGAGTCCAGCAAGGCGCGATTCCTTGTTCCTAAGTAACATTAAAGTAAGGGCATGGTTTAAAACCAGAGCATTGTTTTTAGTTTGTATTTCTCTTTTGCTTCAGCTGTAACCTTGGTGTTTCTTTTGGTGTCAATCTTTGCTCTTTGCCTCCAGTCTAGTCTTCGCTCCCAGCTCGTGTTGGTTGAACTGCTATAGTGATCTTTAGCAGTCACCTCACTGCTTTCAGAACAATGTTTCAGAAGTTCTGGCCAGACAGAAAGCTTATGAATGGGCTTAAATTTGTTTCAGAGAACCAGTGAGGCAGTGCTGGATGCAGCGCATGCTGTGTTCTGGTGGCTCAAAGTGCTGTAGCTGTGAGACCCATGAATGCCCCAGGGCTGCGAGGCAAATGTTGTTGGTAAAAACACAAAAAGCCACAGACCTTGGAGTCAGTCTGAAATATGGCTTAAATTGTCTAGGTCTATGTGGCCAGATTTTTGCTTGGATGCTCATGCCGAGTGGTTGCCCCTCTTGCTCCCCATGGGCTCTCAGGACAGGCTGCGGCCTCACTGCACTCCCTGTGCTGGGCAAATGTGGTGTGGGGCTGCTGAGGTCTAACAGCAGTGTTTAGAGCTCTTCCCACTGGTGGGTTAGAGCCAACTGAAGTTTAATGACAGCCAGAGAGCAGTTCCAACCCTTCACTGTGGGCTCTTATTAAAAGGAGCGCTTGTTGCACTGAGGAAGCTCTGCAGGTCTCTGGGAAGCTGTGGTTTCCTCTAGGAGGTGAGGGAAGCTGTGCTCTCCTACCGAAACATTTCCATGGGGGCCATCTGTGATCACTGTGGCTGTTCATTTAGTCAATTTACTTGGATTCAGTAAGCTATTTGTTTTGATTAATTTGTTATTAAGCTAAAACTAAATTTGCATTTGCTAGACCAGCAGCAGCCTTCTTGTGCTAAAGCCATCATGCTGCAGTGCTCTCACTCTGGTTTTGGTTGCAGCGAAGCCTCCCGTTGCACCTGGAGCAGAGGGCAGACCTCTTGCCCACAAGGAGCCTTGCTGCCTCCCAGGTGGGGCCCACGAAGGAACCCCTTTGGGGCCATTGCTGCACAGCCCTGCTCGGTGCTCCTGTGGTGTCAGCCTGCGGTTGGGTCAGTGCTGTGCAGAGCAGGAGGGTGGGAGTGGGAGGGGTGCACATAATCCCATTTGAGTATGGGTGGCTTAGTTGTTCTGCTGTGTGCCTTCTGAGCACAAGGCACGCTGGCAGCCTTATTTCTACATCATTAAGTCCCATTGCATCACTAATACAGGATGGCGTTGTATTGCTTTTCCCCAGTGTCTTTTATCTCTGCGGATCGTTGCATGTGAGCTATTGCACAGCATCAGCCACCTGTTGGACGTGGCCTCCTCCTCCTCGGAACCAGTGCGTCTCCAGCTGACGGGTGTGAAAGCTGCTCCATCAGACTGGGTTTACATGGCTATTATGGGGTGAAGTAAGCTCTGCTGAAATGTGATGATGTATCATCATTAAACGTAGTGATTTTATTAATTGCAACAAATTGTACTTCAGATGATCTGCTTTGAAATGTAACCCAAGCTGGGCTGCCCTGTCCTGCGCTGAGCTCCTGCCTGGGGCAGCTCGGACCTGCGGGCACCTGGGCTGTGCTGTGCTCCTGGCCAGGAGAGTTGGCACTGTCCGTGCGTTAAACTTTTTGAAAAATATCAGGAATACTTTCAGTTGTGGATGTGGATGTAACCTGAGACCTGATGTTAGCTCCCGAGGTCACAGACTTCATTACCAGGATTTCAAGGTTAGCTTCTCTCCTGCTGTGGAATTGTTTGAGGAGAGCAGCTCTTCTGAGAGGAGGACATTGGCCATAGCTGAGGTTTCTCTGTTGGTTGGGAGGGCAACTCCGAGGGCTTGAAACGATTCGAGTGGGAGAGATTTTTCCTGTTGCCTTTTTCTGCTCTTTAAACAGAGGAAGAGAGACCAGTCGGCGATTTAATGTGAGATCCCCTGCTCTGCTCTCAGCCAGCCGTTGCTTTTCTCCTCAGCAGATTGGTGCCGGAGCATGAGGCGCTGCAGGCAGCCTCAGTGTTTCTGGGGCTCCCTGCTGGGGATCTCCTCCTGGGTGTTAGGCCCTGGCCGCTGGTTCCACGAGCTCTGCACTCCTGGTTCCGTTCTGGCTTTGGGAGTGCGATCGTTGCTGAGGATAGAGCTGTGCTGCTCAGCAGGGCAATGTGTGGTGTCCCTCCAGAGGGGCCGTGTGTGCACAGGTGGCCCCAGCGCTCACTGCTTGCACAGGGCTCAGGCTCTGTAATCCCTGCATCGGTTGCTGGGATTTGCAGAAACAGCAGAGAGGAGTGGCTGGAGGAGGCCATCAGTGTGTTTTTTGTGGCTGGTTTGATACGGTGGAGCAGTGCAAGAGGACAGAAAATGCGTCTGGGAAAACTTGGCCGCAGCTGCCCAGGCCCTTTGTGCCGCCTGCTCAGTATGGGCGGCCGAGCCCAGCCGAGACTCCCCGCAGCCTCCCATCTCCTGTAGCTCAGTGCATCTCCCTGCCAACAAGTTTGGCACCGCCGGGGTGCCTGTCCCATGCTGCACCAGTGCAGCGCTCGGTACAGCTCTTGTCTATTTATATCGAGCTCACGGAGCGGGGCGCTCGGCGGGCATCCGCTCTCAGAGCACATCTGAGGAGCGTGCAGGGGAGGCGCACCCCTACATCCTCCTGTGTGACCGAGCTGCGGCCGCCAGCTGCGGGAGCTGCTCTGTGCCTCGTGGTGGGTGAAGGGCGCTGCAGGTCTGGAGCGGGGCTGTGAGGAGACCGTGTGTGTGGGGCAGCCCTGAGCCGGCGCTGGGCCCCCTGCCCAGGGGACGTGTGAGGACTTTTTAGGAATCACGGTGACTGTGTGGGACAGATCCGGAGCGGGGAGGTGAGCCGTGCGCCTGGTGGGGCCTTAAATAGGTGCGTGCGGACGAGACTTGCAGAGCTCGCTGCTCTGACCGTTGCCGTGAGCCGGGCTGCCAGAGCCATGGGAAACAGCGCGGCAATGAGCTGCTGCCGGCGTGTCACCGAGCTGCTTTTCCCAGCGCGTGGCTGCAGCCTGCCCCATGAGCGCTCGCCCCTCCTGCTGAAGGCCCCGCCGAGTGCAGCCGGCCCTGTGGACGCGCTGGGAGCTTCGTGGGGCTCTGTGCCGTTCCCCGATGTCATCCCCAGCGCAGCGGCGGGAGGAGGCCTGCAGGAACGCCTCGAATGTGCCCAGGCCCTGCCTGAGGGCGAAGCTGTGGTGGCCGCAGCCTGTGGCGACAGCTGTTCTGGAGCTGGCGGTGCTGCCCCGCTCCCTGCCGCCGTCCTTCCCACTGACCTTGAGGAAGGGCCGTTGGAGCCACTGGGCTGTGCCGTGCTGCCTGCGGCCTGCCAGTGCCACGTGAAACATGAGGACGGTGCTGTGGCGTGCAGTGCAGGGCCTGGGGCGGCCTGCGGGGTTCTGACCTGCAGCATGCAGCCAGCGGGCCCCAGGCCGGGCGCAGCCTCACTGCTGGGTGATGGGTCACAGCGTGCTGCCTCTTCGGAGAGCCCTGACACGGCACAGTCAGTGAGGACCGGAGGGGCCCTGCATGGCCACGGCGTGGCTGCACCGTCTGCGCTTGGCTGGGAGAAGGCCGCTGGGAGGGGGGCTGTGCGCTCCAGGAACCCCAGAGCTGCAGTGCAGCAATCCAAGCAGCAGAAGAGGAGGAAAAAGAGGAAGCTCCTTCTGTTAGGTGCTTAGTGTGGGGCCTGGCTGTGCTTTGTGTTTCTGGTGGCCCTGTGTGCAGGGCTGGGGGCTACGTGTGCTTGTGGTGGGAGTGGGGAGGGGAGGTTCCATCAGAGTCTGCATGGGGTGAGGATGAGGAGGGTGGCGAGTACTGCCTGTGCTACTCTCCTTGCTCTTGTTAGCAAACATGAGGATGGGCTCTGTGACTGATGACTGGCTGGCTGCAATGTGGGCCAACTGCTGCAGCCAGAGCAAAGGAGCAGGAGCCGTTGCATGAAACTATAGCTGTACTGCATGCAAAGGAACCTTTGTTACACAGGTTCAGTGCTGTTCTGTGTCTGTTCTGTGCCTGGTGTGCGCACCTGGAGCTCAGCCCTATACAGCCAGGAGTAACCATGCTGCTCAGCGCTGGGAAGAGCGGGGCGGGGTTTGTGTGCCCCGATGCAACTGGGGCTAGTACCAAGAAATGCATGCTTAAACTCATTAATGAAAAAGGGAGCATTTTAGTCTTCAGGTTTTTTTTATCTCTGTGTTACTAAACATAAGGAAGGAAGACTGGAGGCAGTGAATGTTGTTGGTACTGGTACTTCCCACACCCTCCAAACCAGACCAGCTTGCAGCAATGGATTTTGACGGCCATCAAAGAACTGATGCCTGACTTGGGCTAAGAAGATGTTTGAATGCTAAAGAGTTATTAACTCATGCTCCCCATGATTGCTCCATCACCATGTGTGCTCAGCAGCACTCAGACCAGGCAGGGGCTGGGCATTGAGCCGTCTGCCTTGCGCCGTGCATACACACCTGCAGCCTCACTGTAAATAGCACCGGGACTGAAATAGCACGGTCACTTCGGGTGCTTGCTGTCTGGGAGCAAGGATGAAATCTAATCCTTTCCCTTGGCCTTTCTAGCAGGTACAAAATGCAGGTTGAGGCAGCACATGTTCAGTGCTCCCCATGAAGCGGTGTCTGTGCCACCTCCTCCCCTCTTCAGCATTTGGCTTTGCTGTTTTCCTGATGCTTTCCCTGGTGTGCAGCTGCAGCTTGTTCCTGCTGTCACCAAGGGCTGTCCCCTGACCTCCAGGCACAGGCTGTGATTTCTGAATTTCAGGCACTGTCCTGTGGGGCACTCCTGTGTGGAGCTTTTCTCCCTCCTTCCTAGTGTGGATGGAGCCCCCCAGAGCCTTGCCTTGTGCCTGGCTTGCCCGTGGCTTTGTCTGCCAAAGAAATGAACAGCTCTCGCTGGGGACTTACACAAAGTGACAGGGAATGTGAACAGCATCTGCTGAGATGTTGAAGGCAGCAGAAGCTGCTGAAGATAGCTGTGTTTACCTGCTGCCTCTTGCAACGAGCATGCTTTCCTGGTGTTCCGTGCAGTCTTTCACTCTGTGTCAGTTCAGCTGTGCCAGCCATCTTTGAGATGGGTTTCAGCTGGCAGCCTTTGGAGCAGTGTGGCAGAAGTTTGTACTCCATGCAGGGATGCTCCAGCAGGGCTCCTCCCTGCACGTGCAGGGGCAACAATGCAGTGGTCCCAGACCAGCTTGGTGGGTGCAGGCTGCTCTGGGAGCCCTGCAGCTTCCTCAGTCTTCTCATCTCAGACATCTCCACCTTACTTCAATAGAAAACAAATGCAGTTGCGGAAACTGGGAGGGAGGTACAGAGCTCCCTGTCCCTGTGACGCATCTAAGTGAACACTTAAAGTGTCATCACCATTTTCTTGAATGCAGGGGCTTAGGCGAAGCCTCATCCTGGCCCTGTGGGATATCCACAGGATATTCTGGAAATGTGGAGGGCGGTTTTGTTGTGTGCAGGGTGTGGAGCTGCGGGTGCAGTAATGCACTCCACGTGACGCTGCTTTGCCTGCAGCTGAGCAGCTGTGCTGTGGAGGTGCGTTGGAGCCACGCAGCGTGTTGGTGCAGGGGGACAGCTGCCTCTGGCTGCAGAGCGCCACACACCCATTCTTTAATTAAGAGACTTGTAAAGTCTAAGCCAAATGTGCTGTGAGCTGCACCATCCTCCCGCTTCCATTCCTCCTTGCTCCACACGGGTTGTGGAAGATGCAAACCCTGCAGGTAAGTGGGACGGTGTTGATATTGCAAAGAAAGGAAAGGGCAGCGTTTGGTGCACTTGTGTCCAGTAAACACTAACTGCAGAACAAAATGCTTACTGCCTTTAACCCCTGGTTTTAACCCCTGGTTTTAACCCCTGGTTTTAACCCCTGGTTTGCTTGCCGTCCTCCCCTCCCCGGTGTGCTGACCGCTGTCCCTCTCTCCAGAGCACCCACCTGGCGTGGCACTTGTCAACGGCAGTGGCCCCCACGAGAGCCTGAAGGGTGAGAAGGATGCCAGGCAGAACGGACATGAGGAGGCTGATGCAGGGGAAGATGGGAACGACCAGGAGGTCATTGTCATCCAAGACACAGGATTTACTGTCAAGATCTGTGCACCTGGGATAGAGCCCTTCTCCCTGCAGGTACCTCTCTGCTAGCCAGGAGGGGATGAGTGGGGGCTGGAGAGGGACCCAGGCTGTGGGCTGGGCATGGAGCGAGTTTCACAACCCCCAGAACTAGTGGAGGCAGAGGGCAGAGCACAGGGTCCCTGATTTGTTGTTTCCATGATGGGGTTAAGTGGAGAGGGAGACAGCGAAGCGTGGAGGGTGCAAGAGATAAGCTGCTGAACCAGTGGCTTTTAGAGAGAAAGAAAAGAGTAGGTGATGTGAGCACAAAGCTGTCTGGCAAAGGCTGTGCAGGCATTGGGAGGACAGAGGTGGGTGGGAAGTGGAATTAGGCAGGGTGTAGCTGCCCCGTGTTCTTCTCAGCAGGGCTCAGGGATGGAGATGAGCACTAAGGAAAGGACTTCCCCATTTCTGGGCTGTTTTTAAGGAGGGATGTGAAAACATGACCCCAAGGTCTGACTGAGGAAGGGAAAACCTCCTGCCTGCCCAGGGATTTTTGGCATGCTGCACCTTCTGGCTAAGATGAGTTTGGCACAGTGACATGTGCCAGTGCTGTTTGGGGAAGGCACACACTTGCCTGAACATCAAGGGAACAGCACAGCTCCCTTTTCGTTTCTGCGGAGAGCTCTGCTGCACGCAGCAGTGTTGTCGCAGGGGCCGCAGCGCGTGCTGCCGGACCAGGACAGGCTTTGACATGCCCAGCGATTCTGCGATTAGCTCTGCACTTCACCACAAACCATTTGGATGAAGTATTTTTACTGTGGGGGGAGGCGTTTTGAGTCCGAACTCAGCAGGAAGGAAGCCTTATCTCCCCAAGACCAGTAGAGAGAACAGTGAGATTGCATCCCCCATGGAACTAGCTGTATCCCGGGCAGCTTTTTTCTTCCTTTAAATCCCTTTGTCTGAATAGGCTAATAATAGCAGGCCACGTTGTTTACGGTGGCTTATGTAAACTACCCTGAGTCCTCGTAGCTTGAGAGCAACGTCAGTGGTGCTGGAGCCAGGGCAGGCAGGCAGGGGAGCAGCCCGGGACCTCGGGTTCAGCATGGATCCTGTGAGGCTGGAGCCATGTGTTCACGTGCCCGGAGGGGCAGCACCATGCAGTGGTGAGCACCATGCACCACTGCAGGTGAGTGTAGGAAATGGCTGCTTCTCACGTCATTCTGATCCTCAGCACAGACATGCCGTGTGGATGGATAAGGGATGAGCCCCAGGTTTCCCCTCACCTTCTGTTCCTTCCCTGCCCTGTGTCAGCACAACGCAAGGCTGAGACACCTGTGGGTGCTGACCCTGCCAGAGGTGGCACCTTTGCGTGTACTCCAGAGCAGCTCTACATGCCTGTTGTCACTGGAGCTTGCTGACATGCTGAGTGTTGTTAGGAGAGTAGAGACGTCCCTAGTGTGTTTGTGCTCTTGAGTCTTCGTTGGATGCATGCTTGAGGGTGATCTGTCTAAGAATAACTGGCTGGGTTTTCCCTTCTTAAGGTCTCTCCTCAAGAGATGGTGCAAGAGATCCACCAAGTCTTAATGGACCGTGAGGACACCTGCCATCGGACCTGCTTCTCCCTGCAACTGGATGGGAATGTCCTTGACAATTTTGCTGAGCTGAAAACTATTGAAGGACTGCAGGAGGGCTCGCTGCTGAAAGTGGTGGAAGGCAAGTTCCTTTGGGAGGAAGTGGTTCTGGGCCACCTTGCAGCCCTTCCTCGTGGTTCTTTTTTGAGAATTGTGCGATGAAGCAGTGAGCATCTGTGTAATTCCAGTTTCTTTCCTCCCTTTCTGCTTATCAGAGCCGTACACGGTGAGAGAGGCCAGGATACATGTGCGTCACATTCGGGACCTTCTGAAGAGTCTTGACCCTTCAGATGCTTTCAATGGTGTGGACTGTAATTCTCTGTCATTCCTGAGTGTCTTCACTGAAGGAGACCTGGGAGGTATGGGGCAAAAAGGCTTATATGGTGTGGTCACTGTTCTCATTCCCCTGACTCCCCGCTTCATTAAAACACAGTGTAACAATCAGCTGGCCCACCTCACTCAGGAGTGCAGAGAAACACTCTGAGAACTTCTGCTTGAAGGACGGACTGGTACGTTTTTCAGCACTGATTTTCCATCTTTCTCCATTGTAGACAGCGGGAAACGAAAGAAAAAAGGTACTGAAATGGAACAAATTGACTGCACCCCTCCTGAACATATCCTGCCAGGTAGCAAAGAGAGACCCTTGTGTGCCCTTCAGCCCCAGAACAGAGACTGGAAGGTAGAGTTCTCCTGTGCAATTGCAACAGCTGTCGGCATATACCTTGCAGAAAATGTGTTCAGGGATTGAAACCTGCGCTGAGGTGGACTTTGGGATTTGCTCTGCTTGGTGCTTAATGAGTGCTGGAATAGCACTGCTTAGCCAAGAGAATAAAGTCCAAGAGCTAGTGTGCAAAATGCTGGATGCAAAGTCTGGACATCTGCAGAGCATAACATGGCCAGTCTTGCTGGGGAGGGGAAGCAGTGAAGGGAGAGCTGCGTTGCTTTAAAAAGTCCTGGAGACAGGATCTGCAGATCAGTACAGATTATCCTTAGGTTTCCCATGCCCTTGCACTTGGATTCCGGCTTTAGAAGCTGCCATTTGAAAACCAGTACAGCAAGAAATGCATGCCTTGTGCAGCCCAGAGGCCCAGGGTATCTGTTTTTACCTGTGTCTTACGTGTGAAAAGCTGCAAACTGAGGCAGATTAGAGGACTGCAAGTAGTTTGAGGAAGGCTATACTGTAAAGACCATTTTTTTTGTAAGCTCTGTTTGTGGAACCAAGCAAAGGCAGCAGGTAAAAGGACTCTGGCTTGCACATCAGATGGCTCTGTAACTCAAGGGTATTAATTCCTACTGACAGGAACTGCTTCTGTTGTATTTTGTAGCCTTTGCAGTGTCTGAAGGTATTGACAATGAGTGGCTGGAACCCTCCACCTGGTAACAGGAAGATGCATGGAGACCTCATGTATTTATATGTCATCACAGTGGAGGATCGACATGTCAGTATCACTGCATCCACTAGAGGATTTTACTTGAATCAGTGAGTAACCAGCCATCCTTCTGTCCTGCCCTGCAGCAGAGACCTTGTAATACCCAATTGGGAAAGAACATGCGAAGAAACAGGCTGCTTGATTTTTTTGTTTTGATGGTTTTCTGTGTGTGTGGAAAGCAGCTTATTTCAATTCACTGCTCACATGGCGTTTGCAGGAGTTGTTCTACTGGATTGGGCTGTTTACTTATGCCTGGTACCGCTTCTCTGCCGTGGATAAATGCCTGATGCTTTAGGGAAAGTTGAAACATCCCATAATGACATCAACTAATTACAGTACTTTGAGTGGTGGAGGGAATTCCTTCCTGACCATTGCAACTAGCTCGTTTTGCCCTAAAGGAAAAGCGCAGTCTGCCAGCACTTCCTAACCTGGGCACAGGTTTGACTGGGATTTTTTTTAAATAGCATCTGTGAGAGACAAAGTTCCTGCACAGTGCCTGGGAATGTAAGAGTGACTGTGTTGGAGAAAACAAAACTCCAGCACGTTTCTGCCCTCTGTCCCTTAATGAATTGGACATGTTCTGTGTTACCCTGACTCGTGGAAAAAGCAGTTTGTATTCCGTGGCTGCCTGTGGAGCTGGCAGTCTCAGTTATGACGACAGCACGTTTCTTTTCTCTTACAGGTCTACTGCGTACAACTTCAATCCCAAGCCTGCAAACCCCAGTTTTCTCAGCCATTCCCTGGTGGAACTGCTTAACCAGATCAGCCCTACCTTCAAAAAAAACTTCTCTGCTCTGCAGAAGAAACGGTACAGCACTTCTTCCTCTCTAGTCACCTTTGGTGATGTGATGTTGCTTGGTGAGACCAGGGTGCGTGGCTGGTCTGTCCTCAGCAGCAGCTGATGCAGAGCAGGCCTCGTGCTGCAGCAGGGTCAGACTGATAACCTCATCACTTTGCTCTGAATACAAAAAAACTGAAGCATAAAATATCAGGAACCCTAACAGATGATGGCTTTGCACAGGCTTACAGTGGAGTGAGAACGATTACTTTAAACATTTATGCATATTTCTTTCCTCTAATTTCCTTTTGCTCCCATATTAATAAGGAGCAATAATAGATTGTTTTATTTTCCTGTCCTTGCTGCAGGGACCATCTATTTACTCCAGGACAGTGGATCCTTTGCAGAAGCCTGTCATTCTTTAGAGTCCGCTTAATGAACTGCCTCAGCTCAGCAGGATGCAAATTGACAGGCACATGGTGTGGCTTTCGAGAGTTCTGCTTCTGCTCTCATTAGGAAGATGAAAGTGACACCATACAAGGGCTGGAAATTCGCAGTGGCCTCCCAGTCACCACAGCGACTATCTGGCCATTTAAAAATGATTATATTGTGTTGCTTGTTGGGCCAGAAGTAAATACAGATGAGACTTTGGCACCTGCTGAGAGCAGACAGATTACAGCAAGCTTCCCCTAAGCCATTACTTCATTAGTGGATGGTGCTATAGGCTTGTTTATAGCCCTTACGGACTACAGTGAAAGCTGAGAGCCAGTCTGACAGAGGTGGCTGGGAGTGGTGATCCTCTGCGTGTGCTCCTGTTTTGTGCTGAATGGGGAGTGTGCTGGCGAGATGGAGCTGAGGACAGGAGAATGAGGAAAGCCCAGTTTATTCTGTAGATAGCAGCTGAGAGATTCTGCCAGCTCAGTCGTTAAGGGGTGTCGCTGCATGTTTAATGACTTGGTCTTGTTCTGCTGCTAGAAATTGGCGTTGCAGCTGAGGGAAAATTCTCTTAGAATAGAAAGAAATCTTCCTTTGGAAAATGTCTAATTGTTTTCACTCCCCAATTAGGGTTCAGAGACATCCTTTTGAGAGGATAGCAACTCCTTTCCAAGTGTACAGCTGGACAGCCCCACAAGCAGAACATGCCATGGACTGTGTCCGAGCAGAAGACGCGTACACTTCCAGGCTGGGCTATGAAGAGCACATACCTGGACAGGTATCAGCCTAGCTCTCTCTGAGAACCCTAGCAATAGTCCTGCTGCTCACTGCCTCACTGCACTGGGAACCAGTTAACTTTTACCAGCAAGTAGACCTTTGGTATTTTGAAAGGGTTTTGCACATCAAGGAAAACTTGCCTGAGTCTTTGTTCTCAACGCTATCTTTAACTACGGCGGGCTGAGCTGCTGAGGCTCCAACTTCCCTGAGTATGTGGGAGTCTCAGCAATTTCTGCTTAAGTACTTATAAATCCTGTGTCCCTACTGCGATTGGCACCACTGCTCCTTGCGAGCAGCAGAGTGTTCCTCTGTTCTGGTCACATCTGGAAAAGCTCTCATGTCTCTCTGCAGACTTTTCTAAGGGTGTCAGTTGCAGCCTCATAGCATAAAATGTGCCAGGATGTGCACTGTGCTGGACTGCCAGGGCTGTGTGTAGGCAGTGTCTGTGGGGTGACCACGTTGCAGTGTGCTGGCTAACCAGGTCTGCGCTGGGTTATTCTGGCATTGGCAATCTGGCATTTCAGATAAACTGTGCTGAGTAACGTGGACTAGCAGGATCCTTCCCATATGGATGTGGAATGAGATCAACTCAGGAGGAGTGATCCTGATGCCAATTCTTTTCCTCTGAACGTCATGGCAGCCTGAATTCTTTCCTTCTCCTTTCCCTTGTAAATGAGAAATGTTGGCTTGCCAGCACCCACCACAGCACATTGCTTACCACAAGGCTTTCACTCTTTCAGACCAGAGACTGGAACGAAGAGCTGCAGACCACGCGAGAGCTGCCACGCAAGAACCTGCCTGAGAGGCTGCTGAGAGAACGAGCCATTTTCAAGGTAACTTTGGGATCTGCAGGCAACTTCCATTACACAGCCCCTTAGCTGCTGCCCATGTCACACCTAGACATTTCACCTGGGCTGTCCTTCAGAAGCTGCAAGATGGGAGTCCCTGTTTGTGAGCTAAGGAGTCTTGTTCCCTCTCGCATATCATATAATCATCTGTGTTGGAAAGGCCTTCGAGAACATCACATCCTACCATCAATCTCAGTTACCAAATCCCACCACTAAACCATGTCCTGTAGTGCCATGTCCACATATCTCTTGAGCCCCTCTAGGGATGGGGACTCCACCCTCATCGGGACTTCTGTGGGCAACCTGTTCCAGTGCTTGACCAACATCTGCCTTCTGCTCCCAGCTTTGCATGGAAGAATTGTAGTCCTTGACCCCGTGTCTCCCAGCTGACCATGAGATGGTCTCCTCTTAGTCCTCTGCTGTTGTGTTTGATCCAGTCCTCCTTCAAGCGGGTAGGAGGAGCAGGAGCAGGGGTAGGGGTGGAACATAATTAAAACTAAACCCTCCTCCACAGAGAGCTCATGAGACTGAGCCCTGGTGATCCCTAATGCTCTGGCTCCTGGAGCTTGTATCCAAGCCACTGGCCAGGCTCACAAGAGCAAAAGTCAGCTGACCTGCCTGCCTGCTGGAGGGCCATGAGGAGGTGAGGAGCAAAGGAGAAATTTGCAGAGAGCTTTGAGAGTGAGGTGTGGTGAGGATGTTATCCGTTTCTCACCTGACTTTCTTTCTGGCTACCTCCAGGTTCACAGTGACTTCACTGCAGCAGCAACAAGAGGTGCCATGGCTGTCATTGATGGCAATGTCATGGCCATCAACCCCAGTGAAGAGACCAAGATGCAGATGTTCATCTGGAACAATATATTCTTCAGTCTGGGCTTCGACGTCCGTGACCACTACAAGGACTTTGGTGGGGATGTTGCTGCTTATGTAGCACCTACCAATGATCTCAATGGTGTGCGGACCTATAATGCTGTGGATGTAGAAGGGCTGTACACTCTGGGGACTGTGGTGGTGGATTACAGAGGTTACAGAGTGACAGCTCAGTCTATTATTCCTGGGATCTTGGAAAGGGAACAGGAACAGAGTGTCATCTACGGGTCAATAGACTTTGGCAAGACAGTTGTCTCACATCCTAAGTACCTGGAGCTGCTAGAGAAGACCAGCAGACCGCTAAAGATCCAGAAGCACAAAGTCCTGAATGACAAGAATGAGGAGGTGGAGCTGTGCTCCTCAGTGGAGTGCAAAGGCATTATTGGCAACGATGGGCGTCACTACATCCTGGACCTGCTGCGCACTTTCCCTCCAGATCTAAACTTCCTACCTGTTGAAGGGGAGGAGATGCCAGAGGAATGTAAGAAAATGGGGTTCCCCAAGCAGCACAGACACAAGCTTTGCTGTCTCCGGCAAGAGCTTGTTGATGCCTTTGTAGAGCACAGGTGAGCTGAGCTCCCCGCGTCTTCTGCTTGCAACTGGTAATGGTCAAAATCAGAGCTCCTGGGAGCAGGCAGCTGATTGCCCCATCGTTCAGCCCTGCAGGTGCAATTACAGAGGCTTACTTAATGAGAGCTGGAAAGCAGAGATTCTGACGGGGCTGTAGGGAACTGGGGAAGAAGTGGTTTGCTCTTCAGTCTCCAGATCTGTTTTGATGTTTTGTGTCCTTTCTCTGCAGATGCTCTGGTCACCTGATATCTAGGGAATAGGAAGGACTTATGCTTAGTTTTTTAGGCTCTCCAGACATCTCAAATACTACATTTTTTACCAAAGGCTGAAAAAAATGACCTGTGGGAACTGCTGTAGGGAGTTCTGTGGTGGAGTGTATTGGTGTTGGGCTCATGCAATGCAGGAGAGGGACTGGGAGCTCTGGCAGCAGGCAATCATGTGGTGCAGCTGCATGGGGTAACGTTCCTGCTTCCCATGTCGGGGGCTGCAGGGCGCTCTGCTACCACAGACAGTCAGGGTCTGTGCTCCACTTGCCAGGAAGGTTGAGCCCTCAGCTGCTGCCAGAGGAGCTCTGCCCGCTGAGCAACCAGTTCTGCAGCCAGCACCCTGCCCCGTCCTGCCCTGTGCCCACAGGCACCTTCACGTCTGCTTGGGAGAGGTTCCAGACCAGCAGCCTGCAGGACCGTGGCTGGAGGCTGCCGCTGCACGGCTTGCAAAGCTCCCTGTGCTTGGGTTTGATAGTAAAATTGCTGCTGGATTTTGTTTGTCAGTTCTGTGGATTTGGCAGTAGGAGTCTTCCTGAGCTGCTTGCTGGTGTTGCGTGCAGAAAGCTATTTGTAACTACTGCAAGGAGATGAGTTTTCCATCATGATGTGTAATGAAAACCCACTTCTTTGTCTCTTCTAACATGCTAACGGAAGATATTAGAATAACGTGCACTCTCTAATTTCAGAAAGCTCACTGATAGAGGGTCAGTTTTGCCTTTGCAGAGGGAAACTGGGTGGTCTGTTACCCCAGCTCTGAGCTTTTCCCCTCATAGCAGAATGGTGATCCTCTTAGATTCTCCTGCTGTACTGAGTTCCTCCCTTACTTCGCTGCAGGTATCTCTTATTCATGAAGCTGGCTGCATTGCAGCTGATGCAACAGAAAGCCAACAAACAGGAGAGCTCAGATGCACTGGAAAATGGCACCTCTCCGGAGAATGGTACAGCAGAGAGCGAGAAATCTGAGTCAGATGATGGTAAAACAGATGACAACGTGACTGGACTTGATCAGGTTAAAGAGCTGGCTGAGACCATTGCCTCTGATGATGGAGCAGGTATTTAATCCTCTGCATCAGAAGCAGCCCAGGCCTGCTGCCCTGCTGGTGGCTGCGCCTCTGGTGGGACCTATGCTAAACCAGAGGCACTTAGGGTGATTATTTGTTTGTTAAACAGGACAAGTACTGGCTTCTGCTATTGATAATGTTTTAGCTCTTTGCTTAGAGCCATTCATACACCATACATTAATCACCCTGCCTGCTTGGGGGTAGGTTGTTAGTGTCTCTGAAGCACAAGCCTACCAGCTGTGATGCAGGAATGAGAGCCTCACCAGCAGGCTGCTCTGCAGGGCCAGCAGCCAGGGCTGGGAAGTGTGCAGTGCTCAAACACCTTCAGAAATCCCAAAGTATCTGATTTTGCATTTTTGCAGCTATTCTCCTTTCCGTGTACCTTACAATTCATTGTATGTATAATGCATTTCCGCAAAATGTGCCATCGTTATTGCTGTTAGGAACAAAACTTTTTAATAGCCAGGTTGTCCTTTTCTGAAATCCACATTCATTTGTTCTCTTTTTCTTCCTTCTCCAGTCGATCCCAAAAGCAGAGAAGTGATCCGAAATGCTTGCAAGGCTGTGGGCTCCATCAGTGACACATCGTTTGACATTCGGTTTAACCCAGATATTTTCTCACCAGGTATGTGCATAAAGAGCTCGTGCTGGCCTGTTTTCAGAGGATTGCTGTATGCAGCCAGCTACAGACAAAATGATGTTCCAAAACCTTAACTGATACCACTGGTTTTTGGTGCAGAGTCCCCATGCAGCTCAAAGACACAGAAAAGAGAGCTAAAATTGATTGCAGTGCTCGAACTACCACTGTAGGCAGGGAGCTGTCTCCCACTGCTGCACTCGGGAGGTTTTGAGAGTGCTGCCCAGAATCTCGAGACTCGCCAGCATCCCAGCTGCTGCACCACGTGAGAAGGGCTGGATGTGGGGGGGACAGATTACATTTGATCCTTTTTTTTTTTTGTTCACACACACACAAATAAAACCCCCACGGTTGTAGTGGAATGAATGACGTTGGATCATCAGTGAAGGGCAGGGTTTATTTTAGTAACACTGTGGTCAGTAGGTCATGGTGCTCTTTCAAACACACGCACTGATTGCAGGCATCCTTGTACCTTTTAGTGTCTGGAATCAACACAGTTTATTTGGAAATACAGTAAAGCTCCCAAAATGTTCAGTGGGGCAAATGCAGAAGCTGTGTGTGTGCAGATTGCAGGGAAAGGGCCGTGTAGTTGAGTTTAGTTTGGAATAAATGTGCCAGAAGTAGCGTGTGTTTTGAAGTCTGGTGAAAAACAATGCTTTGGCCCTGACTTTTCAGCTAGAACTTAATTTTGTTTTAATTTTCATGTGCCAAAGCAAAGGCTCTGAGCTTCCAGCACTTGAAGTGTTGGCCCATCTGCTGTACGTGCTGCTCCAGCCTAACCTGGACTCTTGGCACTGGCAGCGTGCACAGCACTTGCCAGTAGGTAGAATGGGATTTGAGCCACTAGAAGTTACATTAAACAGGAATGAATGGTACGGAGCAGCACAGCCAGTATTGGAGAGAAGGAGGTAATGCTCTTCCCATCAAAATGTTGCAGGTTAGATAAGCTTTGAAGAAGCATTTTTAATTTGAAAAATCTGCTTTTTTCCTGCTATTCCCGTGTGTTTTCTGTACATGAGGTAGTTTTCCTTTTGAGTTCATGTCTGATGTTTTCCTCTTGCCCTGATAGGTGTTCGTTTTCCTGAGTCTAGCAAAGAGGAGGTGCAGGATCAGAAGCAGTTACTGAAGGATGCTGCTGCATTCTTGCTCTCATGCCAGATCCCAGGTTTGGTAAGCAGCTAAGGGCCAGCAGTAATCTCTTGGAAGCTTACTACTAGCTTGGCCACTCTGAGCAAGCACTGCAATAGTGGTGTGCCAACGTCACCTCCTAGGCAGATGCTGTGCTCTGCTGCTGGTAGCCAAGTTCTGGCACCAGGGGTGCAGTGTGGTAAACAATGCCAGCATCTCTAGTGCAAGCACAAGAGGGGTTTTCCATTTCCTGTCTTACAGAACAGTTTTCCCACTCACTCCAACAAATCCTCCCTAGCCCTGGGCATCACACGCTGCTTTTGTGTTATCTGACCTCGATTGTGACTTGGTGGCTAATGACTTGGAGTGCACTGGGAAGTTGTTCTTGCTCACATCTAAAAACTCCTTCTGCAGGTCTCAGGCATTTTGGGTGCTTACCCACGTCCCTGGCCTGATAAGAAATACAGCTGTTCTCTCTAAAATGACTGCTGTGTTGCAGCTGTCATTGTAACTGGGAGGCTGGGACTGCTCTGCACTCTGAGAGGTCTTGGGGCCGTTGGTTTCTCATTGCTGGAAAGCTTCTCTTGAACTGTACCTCCCTATAAATTCCCTGGTTCCTTAGTCAGCATAAGCTTTTAAAGGCTAGCTATTCAGTTTGAAAATAAAAGAGGAGGGGAAGTGAATCAGAAAAGGACGTGATGGTGACTGTTGTTTTGCAAGGGTTGTGATACACTAGTATGCAATGTGACGTGTTGCACAGGCTTGGAATGTAACTGTGCTACTCTTTGATGAGGATTAAATGACTTTATCAGCACTGCAACACAACTTGAAATGCGAGTGCCATGTCCCATTATCAGCAAAGTGCCTTACAGTCACCGGTTAAAAACATTTCCAGTGAAAAGACCAGTGAAGCTGCCCACAAACAGCAGCTCTCCATGGGCTGAAAGCTGCCCCTGCCCTGTCCTGTACCACGCAGGGGAACCCTGGGCTGTGGCCTTCATGTCTGTCCTCCGTAACCAACGTTTGCGTGTACCCTGCAGGTCAAGGACTGCCTGGATCACACGGTGCTCCCCATGGATGGGGCTACCTTAGCAGAGGCCATGCACCAGAGGGGCATCAACATGCGATATCTAGGCAAAGTGATCCACTTCATCACCAAGACCCCCGGCCACGCTCAGCTGGATCACATCTTTGTAAGCATTAGCCTTAACTTCAGACTGTCAGCTCCAGCTGCCTCTGGCCTAACGTGTCCTGTACAGATTGCAGCTTGGCTAATTGGTTTCTCTGTGAAAAAGAACCAGCTTCAGAAACAGAGAGGGAAGGAGAAGGACCTGTAGGTGGTTGATGGGGGAGTTATGCTCCCATTTCCTTAATGGCTCTCGCTGTGCTATGCTGTTTGAGTATCTTTTGGGATAGAAAAGTTGTTGAAGGATTCCCAGGTGTAATAGCAGGCAGCACGCAATTGGATTTTAAGCCATTCATTTTTAAGCCTCTACTATCTGGCAGGGCTTTGGGTCTGACTGGAAGGTGGTGTTGTGAGCACGGCTGCGTGGGGCTGCAGGGCGAGCTCTGCGGTACCGGGGGGCTCGCAGTGATCGGGGCCCTTTCCCCATCCGCAGGAGCATTGTCAAATGCAGAACAGTTCTGTGTTGTAGGGTAAGGGCAGAATTAGGCGCCTTCTGTGCATCTTGGTAAAAGCCCGCTTCAAAAGGAAAGTGTGTTGTTATTGCTGGCATCGACTGATTTACTCTTCGCTTTTTGTTCCTCGGGGTAGAAAATTGGCATCAGCGAACTGATCACTCGATCTGCGAAACACATCTTCAAGACGTACCTCCAGGTATGACCTGCAGCCTCACCTCTCGCCTCGTGTGTCCTTTCTAATGATTTTTTTTTGCAAATAGGGTGCTGTTTAGTTTCCTCTCTCATTAGAGCGTTTGTGGGTGTTGCCTAGCAACAGGGACTACAGTCTCATTAGAGCTGAAGTAGGTGTAGGCCTGTGTGCAAGGGAGAACAAGTCCCCACTTGAAGATGGGTTTTCCCAGAGAAGAAATGTTTGTGCTTCTCTTTCCCCGATCCTCACTCCTAATGCTGAAGGCTTTTGCAAATCACAGCTGGTTTTCCTTGTAATGCCTTTTCTTTTGATGCTTTTGCCCTCATAAGGAGCTTTTCTGAATTGAATGAGCACTGATGCATCCGTGCACCTGTACATATGTAGCACGGCAGTGCAGCTGGTTTTATTCCAGGGTCTGCTTTACAGTCTCTAGTTTCTGTGTCCCAAGTGGCAACCCAAAGTAGGACTGTATGTTTGCATGCATGTTGTACCTTTGTTTTTTATCTACCTAATTCTGTCCGTGCTAGTTGCAAATATTTGCCTCTTCCTTTCTTCTCTCCTTCACCTGGGAGATATTGCTGTTTCTGGGAGGACTGGGTTTGTGCAAGCATTGGATCAGAGTAATGCGGTGTGATGGCAGATGTGTTCCACAACTGACTTCTGTGTCTCACTGCAGGGTGTGGAGCTGTCAGGTTTATCAGCAGCCATCAGCCACTTCCTCAATTGCTTTCTAAGCTCCTTTCCAAACCCCATTGCCCATCTTCCAGCTGATGAGCTGGTCTCCAAGAAAAAAAATAAGAAAAGGAAAAACAGGAACCTTGGAAATGCTGATAACACAGCTTGGGCCAGCATGACCCCTCAGGAGCTGTGGAAGAATATTTGTTCAGAAGCAAAGAGCTACTTTGATTTTAGTATTGAATGGTAAGCAAACAAAATTACCCTCAGTTGTGCCTGAACTCTTACAAATATCTGTAGCTCTTATTGTTACCTAATATGACCTTCCTTTTTTTATTTCTGTTTGCATGTAAGTTTGTATTCTTGAGGAAATCTTGTGGGCATATAACGGAAAGAAATCAGGCAAGGAGCAGCAGAGGGAAGTAGCTGCAATCTGCACTGAGATGAAGCACAAAGAGGCAAAGGGAAGAAGGGAAAGCTCTCCTTAGTGCTGCAGAGATGAGCAGAATGTGAAGAGTGTAGGCAAAAGACACTTGTCTATAAGGCTGAAGGCAGCTCGTGTTCCTAAAACATCTGAAACAGGGATGGCCAGGGATGCTGCTGGAACATGCAGACATTGAACATTGAACTGAAAGTGGGAGCAAACAGGGCCCCAAGAGAAATGATGATGAGCTGCTGAAGCCAGTGATCCATGTCAGGGGCAGCTCACTGCATGCCAGGGGCTGGAGGTACTCAGATTTATTCAGACCCTGCAGGGAGCTGTGAAGAGCACACTGAATTTCAGTTCTGCTGTGCAGCTCTGTAAGCACCATTAGCACCCAAGCTATTGTTGCTGGTTTCAGTCAGCACTTAGCTGAGAGGGAGCCGTGCATGGTACACTGCAGAGTAGGGGTGTTCTTGAGCAGAAACTTCCCTGGGAGCTCAAGCCTTTGTGTGCTTTTTGCAGTGAGAATGCTGACCAAGCAGCTGAAATGTATAACCTACAGAAAATCACCCTTCTTCGTGAAATCTCCCTCAAAACTGGAGTCCAAGTAAGATCAATATCTTCCTTCCTCCCATCATCTTCAGTACTGAGAAGTATGCAGTGCAAACTGGGTCAGCCTTGCAGGCACATGGTGCAAGCCCTGAGAGGTCTTGGAGGCATTAATCCTGGAATACGGGGTCTAATCCCATGAGAAGGGCTTTCAAATGCAGTTCCCTTTAAGGTTAATTGATCGTGCATCTCCTGCCCAGTCTGAATTCCTGTCACTTGCTCTGACAGACAAACCATCTAGTGCCTTTGCATGCAGAGCTCCCAGCACACGCTTGTGGTGGTGCACACCTTGAGGGGACCCTTCAAAATGCTGTCTGCAAGCAGTGATACGTGAGCAGTTAGCTGTGACTGTGATTGCACGTGCAGAATTCCAGGCTCCTTTTCCTCTCTCTCCTTGCCAAGCACCTCTGAAAGTGGTGGCCATGACCTCCTGTCTTTTTTTGGTTCCTCCAGATACTGCTGAAGGAGTACAACTTTGACAATAGGCACAAGCCCACCTTCACAGAGGAAGACATTCTCAACATCTTCCCTGTAGTGAAGCACGTAAACCCTAAAGCCTCAGATGCTTTCCACTTCTTCCAGAGCGGGCAAGCAAAGGTTCAGCAAGGTACAGTTCCAGCCATGCCTCTGCCTCTTGAGGCTGCTGCTGATGGAAGGAAGAGCAGGGTGTGTGTGGCATGGCACATCCTCCACCTGCCTTCTGGTAGTTGAGGATCACGGTCTCTTAAGATCTGCTGTCTTGGAGGCCACCTGAAATGCACATCTGCTGTGGAGTCACCAGCTGTGAGCAAGGATGGATGCAGGACAGCATCCATCCTAAAGCTGCACACCCCACCACTGTTTTTGCCAGTCATGTAGATCTTGCTTCATGTGCATCACTTCTCCCATTCTATGAAAGGTTATTTAATATGGGAACATACATGAATATATATATATTTTTTTTCAGGTTTCTTGAAGGAAGGCTGTGAGCTCATCAATGAAGCCTTAAACTTGTTCAACAACGTGTATGGTGCTATGCATGTAGAAATCTGTGCCTGCCTGAGGCTGCTAGCTCGTCTCAATTACATTATGGGAGATTATTCAGAGGTAAGCAGAGGGCTCAGGCAGGGTCCACTTGTCCTCTTATTTGTGTCTTGTGCTTACTTGCTCAAGTGCACGACATCTGTGTGACTTGCTCTGGGCCTTCTGTTCTGCTCAGGCCTTAAGCAATCAGCAGAAAGCGGTGCTAATGAGTGAGAGGGTCCTGGGCATCGAACATCCCAACACCATTCAAGAATACGTAAGTATGGAGAGAAGAGCACACCATATGTGCACCTGGGGTCTGAGAGTCTTAATTCACACCTGAATCTGGAAGACAGTTGCAGTTCTCTTCCCAGAATCCTCCATTTTCATCACAAGCTTCATGCTTATGATTTTGTAAGCTCGATATGAAAGTGTTTGCATTATAAGCACTGCACATGATCAGTATTTGTCCCCACTGAGACTTTAGGGTTTTGTCTGCTGAGCATTTACATATATTCATTAATTCTTCTGGCTTTTCCCTTGGGCTTGTGCCAAAACCAAGAAATAGCAAGAACCCTCCCAAAGAGCACAGTCACAGCATCTTGTAAATATAGGTCAATTCTGAAATACATCTTAAGGTTCATAAGAGAGATTGAAGTGAAACGTTTCAACAGTTCTTTTATGTGGGTACTGCAGTGCTGTGACCAGCTGGGGAAGGGAGCAGAAAGGAGAGCTCACTTTGATTCAGTGTTAAATCATGAATGCTGGATCTTGTCTTCCATTGTAGATGCACCTTGCTTTGTACTGCTTTGCAAACAGCCAACTCTCTATAGCATTAAACTTACTCTACCGTGCACGCTACCTCATGCTGTTGGTATTTGGGGAGGATCACCCAGAAATGGCACTCTTGGACGTAAGTCATCAATATCTTTGAGAATCTAATCTCTAAAAGACTTGGACTTAAAGCCACGCATACTGCTGGCTGTTTAAACTGTGTGTTGAGATGCTGCTCTTTTTTTTTTTTTTTTTACCCACTGTAAAACTACCCATTAGTTGCTACCCATTAGTACCATTAGAGGAAGGGGAAAGGAGTATCACTCTCTGGCTTGGGAAGGTAGGTCTTCTTTCCCTTACATAAAATGGATGGGGTTCAGAGTGGTTGAGGTTTGAAGGGGCCTCTGGGGTCCATCTGGTCTAACCTGTCCCCTGCTCAAGCAGGTTGCCCAGGACCGTGTCCAGGCAGCTTTTGAACGGTCTAAGAAAGGAGATTCTTTATTTTCCCTCTGTCTGCCTTATTTGGGCTGAGCTCCCAAGGAAGAAAATGCCGTATGATATGTGCTAGAGATCCATGAGGACTTCTGGCCGTAAGAGTCCTTTCAAGCAGCAAAGCACCTTGATGGGAGCTGGGAAGCAGTAAATGTGTACTTGGAATTGATGTTTCTGAATGCCCACTTGACTGCCTGTGTGGTGGATCTGTGCAGAACAACATCGGCCTGGTGCTCCACGGCGTTATGGAGTACGACCTGTCCCTCCGCTTCCTGGAGAACGCGCTGGCCATCAGCTCCAAGTATCACGGCTCCAAGTCTTTGAAGGTTGCCCTCAGGTGAGGCAGGGTGGAGCGCTGGGCTGAGTCCCCATTGTGGGAGTGAGTGCTCAGCGTTCGTCGCGTGGGGGGCTCCGGCCAGCCTGTGTGCAGCTGTGCTCTTAAAGCAGGGGCTGTGTCCAGTGCCGGCTGCCAGCCCCACTGGGGGTGCTGGGCTGCCCGCAGTCATGGCCGTGCTGCAGCATCCTTGGTCTGGAACAGAGATCCCTTGTTCTTAAGATTAATGGGGGATCTGCTTAATGACTCAAAAATATGTCAGGATGAGCTTGACCCTCCCAGATTCTCAGGCATGTGGCAAGGGAGCATTGGAGAGCAATGCTCATGTAATTATACTGGGAGACGAGCATGATGTATGAACGCTTGTATGTAATTGCTTTGGCCCTCGGGGAGCTACCTTTGAGGAAACATCATTTGCTTCTGTCCTTCAACATTAAACCCTTTTATTTCACTAAAATACTGAGAGCTTTCTGTTTCCAAGGCAGTGCTGTGTGCTCTGTCCTTGAATACAGACCTGGCTCACAAACAAATAGTGGCCCATTCCTCATTACTACTAACACCTTGCATCCCATCTGTTCTTCATCAGAGTGAAAATAAATCTTACTAAGCACCTGCAAGAATCTGATTTATTTTCTAGCAGCTGATGGATGTGTATTCTGCAGAAAGAATCCTTCCTTCTCTCAGTAGCACTGGGATGCTCATTGAGATCCATCATTTCCCAGGGAGCATCACTGCCAAAAACAGAAGTCTTTTTTGTTCCATAAACATTAAGGAAGCAAAGTTCAAGCCAAATTAACACTGTCAACTGGAAGAAAAAAAAAAAAAAAAAAAAAAAGGCAACTTGGATCCCAGCTTTGCCACTGTTTGCTGGTTGTTCCTGTGCTGGAAAACTGCCTTGCCTATGTTCAATGCACCACTGTGACCTTCAGCTTTCCTGGGCACAGCAGGAAAAAATCCCAAGCTCAGTCTCTTCTTTGTCATGTTCCTTCTCAGCATTTCAACAATCTGGCCTACATCAGTGCAGTGTGTGAATCTGCAGCTGGGGTGGGGAGAAGTAAACACCAGGGTGCTGTATGTAGTCCTGTATTTGCCACCTTTACACTGCTGTTAAGACTTCTAGCCTAGCCTTTGTGTTGCCGGTCATGCTCTGCATAGCACAGAAATGCTTCTTCATCATTGAGGTACCTTTAAACACCTTTTTCCTTCCCTCAGCCACCACTTGGTAGCTCGAGTGTATGAGAGCAAAGCAGAATTCCGGTCAGCACTGCAGCACGAGAAGGAAGGCTACACAATCTACAAAAACCAGGTGAGGAGCCTCGTGCTGCTCGTGTGGTGTTTTCCTGCTAAAAGCAAGGACCGACTGCAAACCAATGCCACAGCCTGAGCTCAGGGAGGCCTTTCTCATAAACAGCTCTGGTGGGTGCCAAGGACCCTTCTTTTGAAGGATGGGGCAGAATTGCTGTCCTGGTGGTGATGCCAAAAGTCTGTGCTGCAAGTTTGTTCCTGCTGTACCCATCACTGGACAGAACTTCTGGTAGTGGCTGAGCCCCATGTTCTGGCAGGGTATGGCAAGAGCTGGTTGATTGTTCCCACTGTGCATCAGCTCTCTTAATGCCGGCCCCAAACTAGTTTGGTTGTTGAGCTGTTCTGTGGGCAGTTCCCTCTCCTGCTTGGAGCCTTCGGTGATGCACAGTGAAACTTCTGCATCAGCCTGGGTCTGTCCGAACACGTCTGCAGCTGCACGCTGTGATTCAGTACTGCTGAAAGCACAGCCTGGTGGAGGGGGTGCCTCTCGCCCTGCAGACATGCTTCTACTTGATGGAAAGGTGTAATTTTGACAACAAGGTTCCTACGCAAATGATTTTAGTTTTGTTTTTAAATGCATGTAGTTCTGGTAGCTTTCTGTAGGGATGCTGAGCTGGCAAAGACAGGAGGAGTGCATCCTAGTTTGAGTCCTGTTCTGATTTGTATTGCAATCTTTTTTTCTTTCTTCTTTTTCTGATTAGCTTGGAGAACACCATGAGAAGACCAAAGAGAGCTCAGAGTACTTGAAATACCTGACTCAGCAAGCTGTTGCTCTTCAACGCACAATGAATGAGATCTACAAGAACGGCTCCAATGCTAACATCATGCCACTCAAGGTAACCTCATGCGACGAGAGCAATTGAGAACACTTGCTGTGGAGGCATATTGGTATGCTGGTGTTACTGAATGCAGTCTTATGCCTGTGCAGAGCAGGAACAGCTGTGCCAGTTCAGACACTTAGAGCAGGAGGTCCCTGCAAAGGCAGAGGGTCACACAACGAAGTGCTGTCAGGACAAAGTATTTGCCTACTGTTTCTGTGTACAGCTCTTCTGAGCTCGAGCAAGTGAGCAAAGCTGACTGCTTTGCAAGGGGCACCCAGGGGAATCCGACAGCCCACGCCAGGCGCTGTAGCGTGGGAGCCTGGAGCATCTGCACCCCAAAGTGCCGCTGCTCTGACTCACAGGCTGCAGGCAGGTTGCTCAATTAAAAAACACTTTGGTTTCCTCATCCTATTTGAGGGGGGAAAAGAAAAAGGCTGACGTCTTCCCCCACGTGCATTGTTCTCCTTCCGAGGACGTTGTGATGAGAGGAGGCTGGGCAGCAGAGCAGAGCCGGGGGGCTGCCTTGCCTTGACTTCCACGCAGCAGGAACTGACTGCCCTTATCTGCAGTGCACCTGGCAGGTCCCACCAGCCTGTGTGGTGTTTCCTAGGGGAGTGTGCAGCGACTTTTGGGGTGGGTGCTCTCCCTGCTGTGCTGTACATGAGTGGCTGCTGGAGCTCTGCAGGGCTGAGAGCGGGGCTTCCTGCTGCACACTAACTCCCAGTAGAAAGGCAAAGCAGGATAAATCCCGTGGGGGTGGTTGGGTTTTCTTCTCACTGTGTGGAACTGGGTAGACAAGTGAGGAGTTTATGGCAGAATGATTTGAGCTTAAGTACCTTGAATTGGGTAAATGGTCATGTCTAAGAGATGGTATTTGGGTGGGAGGCTCAAATCCTTTAAATAGGAATGGATGCCTCATTATGATGCTTGGAGGGGGGGGGAAAGCAGGAAAGTGGAGTTGTTTGATTTCACAGTTGATGCAGCACGACAGCCCCAGAAGTAGCAGTGCTACTGAGAGACAATCTATCCTAGAAATTCATTTCTACCCTCATCAGAGTGTTCAACTGTAGCTATGTCCCAGGGCTATTTGCGGTTGTGCACAGAGGCACAGGTGCTCTGTAACCACAAAGTGCTGTGGGACTTTTGTCCCAAAACCACGGTAAGGGAATTATGCTTTGCCTGGGGCAAGGATGATGTATGTGCAGAGAGACATGAGAGGCACTGTTGTGAAACCAATTATCTGAGACTGCCCTCGTGATGGACTGACCGCCCGCACTGTGAGCTTGTTCCTCTGTTCATGTGCGAGTAAGTAAATCCCTAATGCTACTTGCTGTAAGAGAGCAAGGGGCTCTGAACTCGTAGAAGTTGTTACCCTAAGTGCTGGAAATCTAAACGTGCTTCTTTTTAACTCAGGGCTGTGGAGAGGTACGAAAACAAGTGCTGTGCCACTTCACAACTATGAGGCGGCCACGGGAGTTGTCTGTACGCACTGCCTCTTCTAGAGGGGGAAGGAAGGTTGTTGCTCAGTCAAGATATGCTCAGGAGCTCTGTGTTGTTCTGTCTGAATTTTGACTTCTAACCCTTTTTTTCTGTCTCATGCCGTAGTTCACAGCTCCCAATATGACCAGTGTCCTGGAGCAGCTGAACATTATTAATGGAATTCTCTTCATTCCGCTAAGGTAGAGTGTCCTAACTCACAGCTTTACCAATCAGGCGTTCTTTGTGTGCAGTCTTTGTGCCTGAGATGGTATAAACCCAGTGCTTCCCTTTACCTTGAGAGTCATTCTGACCCAAGATGTAGTTTCCAGAGGTTAGGTACCTCTTGCTTCAAGGTGACCCAGTCCCCTGAAGTGATCTGCTGTCATCAAACCTAAAATCCAGACCTGCTCCATGCATCTTAAGGAAATTGGGCAGACTTCCTTGAGAACTGATGTGCCCATCAGTGGCCAAGACCACAGTGTGCAGCTCTGCCCATGGGTTGCTCACAGAGCCCATTGGAGCTGTTCTCAGCCTGTCTCCCTGGCAGTGAAAGGGTTCTTCTGTTCAGCTCCGTTTGAAAAGCAGGAGGTCACTGCCCATAAGAAATGAAGTGAGTGACACTGCCAGCTGTAGCAAGCAGCAGGGGCTGCCTTTGTCCCTGTGTTTCACTCCATTCCTAAATCTGGTCTAACATTAGTTACCGTTCCTGGTTTTCCCACTCAGCCAAAAAGACTTGGAGAACCTTAAAGCAGAGGTGCAGAGACGCCAGCAGCTCCAAGAAAGCATGAAAAGTGGCGAACAGCTGGAACCAGAGGACAGAGCCGGGGAGGATAAAGAAGCGGAGCCAAGCATGCCTTCTGCTGCCATCCCCTTAACACAGAGCCCTGCTTAATGTGTACCTCGCTTAAAAAAGTTAAACCACCCTTTTCTGAATCTGAACCAGGGTCTTGGACTCCCCTGGAGCAGCTCCTTTTTTTTTTTTTTTTGACAATGTTATTGCACTGGTACAATTAATACACAATGCAAAGAACTAATCTGAGAAATGTAATCTGTCTGACCGAGCTTGTATCTGCCACGCAAAGGGGGCAGGGGCCAGGATGCAGCAGCATACGAAAGACCCATCCTTGGTGAGCACAGCCAGAGGCTGTTGTGCCTGTGTGTGTGTACGTGTGTGTGTGCACATATCATCAGTTATTTCTACTCTGTACATATGAATTCCAAATGAACTGTCTTGAGCTATATAACATTTCTCAGGTCATTTTTATGTTGACTAAGTACTCAGCTTTGCTAAAAACCAGTACAAAAAAGCCCCTAACCACTCCCCAGCATTCTTGTAAAATGTGGATTTCCAAGCCAAGAGATTCATTTCCCCTCACTCCTTGTCCCAATTTGTGCTAAGAAAAATGAAGCAGCCATATTTGTATCATTGAGATGACTAAAGCCTGTAATGTGAGTAAGTGGGGAATGTACAGCATTTTCTACATCAGGATCTAGAGCCATTGGATTCCTTTAACCATTTTTTCTACTTTTGGTTGGCAGTTTGGCAGGTCAGGGTGTTTTTTTTTTGTTTTTTTTTTTTGTTTTTGTAACATTCATGTTCTAATTGTCAAGATACAGAGATAAATATATATATATAAATATATATAAATATATATATGATACTCACAGTTCCACCTCTGCTCTGCTTGCAGCTGAGTAACAGGATACTGTACCCAAAGAGTGAGGGCTGGGTCTTGATGTTCAAAGCGCACAAACTTCCATTCCAGCGGAAACCCAAGTGCCTGGGAGAGACTGGTAATGGCAGCATCCAAGGTCTGAGGGAGGAGCTAACAGTGGCCCTATTAACAGAGGGGAGAACAGGGGAGGAGAAGTCAGAAATGGGGACTTGATCTTATCTGAAATAACCGTAACTCAGAGCTCATCGCTGTTAACCCCACTGCCAAATGTAACTGAATTGGAATCACAAGTGTCTCACAGCCTGAAATTGCTGGGCTTTGGGGTGGGGCAGTGGTCTCTCCCAGCACTGAAACCTGTGGCCATTATCTTGGTAACGAGTATCTTTGCACACTGGGCTTGAGATTGTCCCCAGGGGAGTTTCCATTGCTGGCAATGGATGTTGCTTTTAAATGAGTATGTCTGTATTTCCCCCTCTGCACCACGCACATCCCATTGTCACTCTGCAGGCTCCCGGCAGCACCGGTCACGCAGCAGGTCAGAGTTCACCTCTGCAGGCCCTGGGATGCCAACGGAGCGGAATGTCCTTTTTTCCCCAACGGATCGAGCTGTAGAGCAACTTGTGGTTGCTAACGCATCCTGCACTGTGCTGGCAGAGGAGCCCAGGCTCATTTTGTCTGTCACAGCTAAGTACTCTGTGCTAATTTGCATCGCTTCTTTTACTGACCTTCTGGAGAAACAAGTGCTGTCACTGTGCTCTGTACCTCGGGTTCCTGTACAGCACGGCAGGTATTTGTGAGGGGAGCAAGGCGAGGTGGGCGCAGCACTGAGGCATTAGGGGTGAAGCAGGAGGAGGCTTCTGCAAAAGAACTTGCTCCTATAGGAAAAATCTGAGTTCCATGGAAAGCAATCAATAAATGACTACAGTGCATCTTTCCTACAAGAATCTTCTTTCACTAGTGTGTTTTAGTCCATTAAAAGCTTTTGAAACTAACCTGAACGCTATCGGTTTCTTTGCCATCCCGGAGCTGGATAATGGCCTGCCCGCTGGCAGCAGCACGCGGTTGCAGCGCAGCCGTCTCCTGCAATGCATCACTTCTTTCTCCTGAGCCCCTTCTGTACCAATCAGGAGACAAAGGGAAAGAGGGAATTCTTCCCCATCCCACGCCTGGCAGCCACACGCGGCGATGTGCCTCGTGGTGCCTCTGGGCTGGCACATCTCTGCTCCTTGGGGCTCCCCCCAGCGCTGCCCCCGCAGCCCTCAGCTTGCACAGAAGCTGCAGGGCGCTGCGTTCGCTCTCCCCGCAGTGAGGTCAGCACTTCCTTGTGCTTCTGTCAGTGACAAAACGCGCCCACTGCCCTTCGCTACTGACCATTCGTAGGCAGCACTCGCGCCAAGGAGAGCAGCGCTGCGGGAAAAGCACGCAGCGGCTGCAGCTCACCAGCAGGGCCGCCCCGCGCCGCCTCAGCCGCGCTCACAGCGCTTTTCTGAACAACACCGGCAAGGAAAGCTGCAGGGGCCGCACGCTGAGCCCCATCGCTGCTGTGCGCCGAGCGGGAGCAGGAGCCCAGCCCTGCTCAGCATGAAAGCCAGCAGCGCTGCTGGCCACCCATGAAAGCAGCTTCCGCATTCAGCGTCCATCCTCACAACACCTGACTGCGGCGCTCGGCAGCAGAGCCCTGGCACAGCGCTGCGCGCCCCCCGCCTGCAGCACCGCCTGGGCTGAAGCAGGGCAGCAGAGCGGGCGTGCAGCAGCAGCATTGGTTCAACATTCTAACTTCTGCATCCAAGGAAACGAAAACACGTCTAGTTTTATATGCATTTAATAGTTTACCAATTGGTACAATAAGATTTTTTTAATATGCAGAAAACATGAATAAATTTTGTTTTACACAGTCTGAGAGCAACAAATCTTACTGTAAAACACAGAGCAGTATTATATACATTCCTTTACTATTTTTTGTTTTTTTTTTTTTTTTTAAATCGTGTCAATATCTTTAGTTAACTCCTACAGTCTGGGAACTGTTTTCTCCAATTGCAACCTGTAACATCATCTTTATGGAAAAAAATCAGCGTTTGCCTTCAGGCCAATGTCAGGACCAGCTCCTAAGTGTCGCTAAGTTATCTTCAGGGTGAGTCTGGGGAAGCCTGAGCACCAGGCAGGACAAAAAGCAGCTACTTACGTGACACAGTGAAAAGATAGAAAGGCCAGTTGAGCCCAGGTGTGACTCGGACATCCACCCCAACCTTCCCCACTCCTAACATCTTTATCCCTACCATTTTATGCACGCATTCTTTGCTAGAAGATTCTATTGACTTCTTTTTTTAAATGCACTGGACTTAACGTACAGTTGGACAGCAAATAACTCATTCTAAGTGCGTTTTCCCTTCACTCAACTTAGTATCTTTTCTTTATATTCAGATCATTAAAGGATTATCAAGCCACCACTGTCTACAGAAAAGGAAAAAAAAACTAACAAAGTCTCTTTTTCTTTTAAACAGCTTTCACGCGAGGCAAAAGCTATTTAAGAGTGCTAGTGTCAGGCAGCTCACGTAAAGACAGGGGAGCGCAGAGCAGCAGTGCTGACGGCAGGAGACGCGGTGCGACGGCAGCCACAGCTCCCCAGCACCACGCAGCCCAGCACGACCCACTGAGCTCCGGCTGCCTCTGCTCGGTGCCCGGGCGCACCATTGGTCACACCACACACAAAAGCAGGACGGTTTTCTTAAGTCTTCTAAAGTGCAAGATGCGATAAAACATCACCTCCAGATCACGTCTGAACCACAATAAACGTTGCACTTTCGAGAACACATCTAAGACTTCCTGGGCACGTTACACGAGTGTGGCACTGGAATGTCTGTCTGTTAATTCAAGCAGCAGTCTGTACGGTCTGTGTGTAGCATGGTTTGGATGCAGGTGTTTTTTAAGCAATGCCGATTTTAGAACAGAGTGACAAAGTAGCAGTGAACCTCTTCAACCCCCAACAGTTTGCAAACCAGACCAGTAGCCTCGGCATATCACAGGAAAGGCACAGCATCAGGCAGCTGACAGAACACCGCAAACAGTGGAAAAGCTCAACACAGCGTAACACCACGGAGCAACACTGCAGAAGAGCCTCACAACCCCACCTCCTGCCTTGTGGGCTCGGGTTTTGTTTTTGTCTAAACAGGGCTTTCACTTTTGATCCGTTCAGGACCATCCCTGAGATTATTCACTGCTCATTAAAGGAGAAGGCTGCAAATTGCATTGCAGAAATACTCGCAGGGCGCTTCGCACAAGCAATTAAACGCTGCTTTACGTTTGTTAGTTCTTTCCTCCTGCAAACAGCCCTATGCTACAGCGAAAAAGGCAGCAGGCAGTTTCCACTTAATAGGTACCTTTAGTTTCTCAGTCATGTTTATGAATTATGTACACAAGTGTGGTTTTCATACTTAAATCAAGTTTCTGGGCTCTATCGGGAGCTGAACTGACCGACTCCTTCACCACTGCAGTGCGCTGAGGAACTTTAAGATGCGCTGCTGTGTACCTGAGTTCCTGGACAGCACACAGCAGCACATTCTTCCAGTCCGTGCAGCTAATGAAGATAAAAATGCTTTATCTCTGCATGCCTAATGCAGGAACACACACTGGGAAAGACATAAGCCACTGGATTTGAGAGGATGGCCTGAATCTTACACTGGCTCCAAACCCCACACATCAGAGCCCCATTTCCTCACCGCTTCCAGGGGCAGCTCTGCACAGCAGCAAACTGGGCTCTGCCTGCACACCACGGGTCCTCCTGGGGCAACTGTAGGAGATCAACACCGCATCCCGCACACCTCGGACCGATACTTTTAAAAGGGACAGTTTTAAAAGCCATGTATTAAACAACATGAGTAAAAAAGCACAACTTCACCTGTTAAAATGTCAGACCAGTGTTTCATCATAGTGGAAATTTTAAAGGGACGTTTTAAAAGACGTGGTTAGTTCAGTAAGTACGGGAGTTCTTAGTTCTCTCTAATGGAATTTGTCACTGACTGCTGATTAAAACATTAATTTGTATTTTCTTTCACTTCACCCAAAGTATGTAACTCCAGGGATATGCAAATTAAAAACTGACTCTACCCGACAAGGCAAAACACCAACGACCAAGCTGGGCTGCTTTTTGTAGATAGGATTTGGTTTCTAGTTGCTCACTTGACAGCATAATTCCCCCAGCCGGGCTCCGTTTTGCTGACGGCACTTCCAGTATCAATTTGTATCTGCCATTACAATCCGATGCTCAAGGTATTTAGTGCTTTCTTTAAAGCCTTTCAATACCATACCCAGAGATATTTCTTCATACGCAAGCCACAGTAAGTTTTTATTTAAGCCACACTGCCTTGTCAAGGTGGAAATAACCTCATATTCAAAAGGGTTCCCAAGGAGGCATTAAAGAAACCGAGAGCTTCGTATATCCCAACCTCCTGCCCGCCAACGTAAGGGAAGTGTACTTGGATACTGTCGTGTAATAGGAATTGCACATCTCTAACAAACAGTGAAAGCAAACAGCAAGTTGTACCACGGCAGTCATTGGGGAGATTCAGCTCTATTGGAAATCAGATCACTAAATGCTAGTGGGATGGACAACTCCTCCTGGAAGTTCAAACAGCAATAAAAAAAACTGAAAAAAACCCCACATTTAAACTTAGTTTAACAGCACAGTTTAACCACTGAATGACCAAATAAAAAATAAATACATTTATCACATCAGCTGCTACTAGGATTTGTTGTCTTATTTCAGGTTTACAGTTAGTCATATAAATATACCAACCCTTGCGCGATAGGAGGCCAAAACAAAGTGTATTCTGTTGATTTGGCAAATGTTTCATGACAAATGTTCCAAAGTTTAATTCATTTCCATTAATTACATATAAGGTTCAGAAGATTCTGACTTGCAGCCTTATTATCTAGTACTCTTAGAGAAGATTTATTAAGCACACTTAAGTGATGTTACATAGATACACATTTCTGAAAGAGCCCTACAAAACCTTTCCCAAATGAGGTCACCAATTCAGGCACCAACAGACAGCAGAAAGAAAAACAGGTATAATTATCTGACACAGAACGACACTGTCAACTATTCAGTTAAGTGCCCTATTTCAATCATCAAACTTCTGCCTTCTTAGGTCTGATGTGACCAATGCCAGCCCATGTTCTTAAACCTATGGTACTTCTAGACAACGTATGTAAATTTACAGTATACAATTTGGATTCACCATGCATGAATACTTTGTGTGTAACATTTAATAAGCTCAATCTACATCCAGAATAATTTACATGAAAGGACAATATTTATTTAAACAGAGCTCAATGGGTAACCATGGTATCTGAGTGCATCCAGAGGAGAAAGGGGTCAAATGTGAAATCAATCAACGGCACTCCCACACTTTTACTGTTTGATCTACACTTCCAGTAACCACATATGGTGCCGTCTTGTGGAAATCTGCGAGGAAAGAAAAGGTACATTAAGAACGAGTGGAACAGTTTCACTCTCACTGAATGCCATTACTTCTTCCCCAAAAGCAATACCAGCTCAAAGACTAAATCTCAAAGCTCTGCAAGTTCGTAGTTCTGAAGGCAAATCCGCTGAGGGAGAGTATAAAAAAGTATCTTTTCAGGTTTGTAGAAAGGGGGGAGCTAACAGCTGCCAATCTGGTAATGCCAGGAATTCAAGTCAAACACTTTCTCCTGGCTTTTACTTCTTCCCCCTTGCTCACAACCCTCCTCCTTTTGGCCAGCAATGTTTCTAACACAACGCTCCCCAAACCCCTGCACACTCAGCAGTGAAAGTCCAGAACACTCTGGCAGTTAGCATCTTTATCTCATACACAACAGTGGCAACAAAATTCCAGAACACCTGAAATTCTTATCTGTCGCTATTTGATTAAAATACAGCACAAAACATCATGGGAATCCCAGAACGTGGATGCCCAGCTTGGTCCTCAGCTGGTAAAGATGCAGAAGTTCTGTA